TGCTGTGAAAATCATTTCGGCAGTCCCCCAAGAAGTTAAACAAAGAAATATCAGCAATTCCACCTCTAGGTATATATACAAAAGAACCAGAAACACGTGTTCAAACAAAAACTGGTGCATGAACATCCACGGCAGCCTTATTCATGATCAACACCAAGTAGAAACCGCCCAAGTGTCTGTCAACAGATGAATGGATAGAGTAAAAGGGACACGTCCATGCTGTGGGTGTTACTCAGTCACAGAAAAGAAGGAAAAGACTGTGCTAAGTGAAAAAAGTCAGGCGAGAAATACCACATATTTTACGTTTCCACTTACATAAATATCCAGAATAGGCAAATTCACAGAGATAGAGAAGAGATTGGTGGGGCCCGGGGCTAGGGTAGGGAGGAGAGGAGAGTGAGAAGTGAGTGAGGAGTGAGTTTTTGCTTTAATTCTCACTTGAGGACATGCTTACTGATTGTCTTAGAGAGAGAGGAAGGGAAGGGGAGGGAGAGGGAGAGAAGCATTGATGGGAGAGAGAAACATTGAGCAGTTGCCTCTCATATGTGTTCTGACCTGGGGACTGAGACCACGGCCTAGCCAGGTACCCTTTGATTTGGGGATCAAAGTCATCGACTACAAGATCAGCATACTAAAAAAAATAAAAATTAAAATTAAAATCAGCAGTATTTTTGTATACTAGCAATAAAAAAACATGAAATTAAAAATTTTTAAACAGTATCATATACAACACATTGTGCTGTATATGAATACATCTGACAAAATATGTGCAAGATTTGCGTACTGCAAGCCACAAACATTCATGACAGAAGTCAAAGAAGACCTAACTAGCCCTGGCTGGTGTGGCCCAGTGGACTGAGCTCTGGCCTGTGAACCAGAGGGTCACCAGTTCAATTCCCAGTCAGGGCACATGCCTGGGTTGCAGGCCAGGTCCCCCGTAGGGGGCGTGCAAGAGGCAACCACACATTGATGTTTCTCTCCCTCTTTCTCCCTCCCTTCGCCTCTCTCTAAAAATAAATATTTTTTTAAAGAAGACCTAACTAAATTAAGAGATATTAATGTTCATGGATCAGGAGATGCAACACCATTAAGATTTCGACAGCCTCAAATGGATCTGGAGGTTCAACAAAATCCCAGGAGGTTGTTTGGAGAAGGTGACAATCAGATTCCGAAGTTGATATTAAAAATCAAAGAAACTAGGATTACTAAATTCTTTTCTGAACAGGGAAAACAAAGTGGGAGGATTTATGTTACCTGATCTCAAGACTTAGTGTGACGTTACAGTAAGCCAAGCATTATGGTATTGGTGAAAAGGTAGACATATTGCACAGAATAGAAAGCCCAGAAGTAAACCCACACATATATGGTCAGTTAATTTCAACAAAGGTGCCAAGATAATCCAATGGAGGAAAAAAAATAGTCTTTTCAACCAATGGTGCTGGAACAGACTACCCATATGCAAAAATCAGTAAATAAATAACCCTGACTCTAACATTACTCTCTATCTAAAAATGAACTCAAAATGGATTACAGACCTAAAACTATAAAACTTCGAGGAGAAAATCTGTCACCTTTGTTTAGTCAAAGATTTCCCAGGACAACAAAAGCATCAAAAGTAAATGTTGATAAAACTTTATTGTTAATTTAAAAATCCTACCCTGGATGGTGTAGTTCAATGGATTGAGCGTTGAATTGTGAAGGAAAGAGTCTCAGGTTCAATTCCCAGTCAGGGCACATGCCTAGCTTACAAGCCGGGTCCCCAGTAGGGGGCGCTCAAGAAGCAACTGCACATTGATATTTCTCTCTCTCCCTCCTTTCCCCCCTCTCTAAAAATAAATAAGTTCTTAAAAATAAGTAAAACTCCTGCTCTCCAAAAGACACTATTAATAAATCAAAAGGTAAGCCACATACGAAGGGAAAATATTTGCAAACACATATATAATAAAGGAGTACCCATAATATATTAAGATTTGCAAATCAATGATAAAAAAATAGACCATTTTTAAATAAGTAAAAGTTTCGAACTGACAGGGCAACGAAGCCACACAGATGGTGATAAGCACTTGAGAAGATGTTAGTCATTAGTCATTAGGGAAATGCAAATTAAAACCACCAGGAGACACCGCTACCTATTCAGATGGCTAAACCTATTCAGATGGCTAACTAAAAACACTGATAAAGTAAGCAACAGGACAACCAGAACTGTCTCATGCGTGGCTGGTGGACACGCAAATTGCAAATAGTGCACCCACTTAGGGAAAGAGTTGGGCAGTTTCATATCAAGTTATGCTTATGCTTATTATACAACTCAGCCACCCCAATCTTAGGTATTTACCCTAGAAATAAAAACATATGGCCACCACGCATAGTTCTCTCCAACCCAGTCTGGGTTTCAGTGTCAGCCCCTTGGCTTGTCTAAGTTTTTCCTACTCAGGAGCCAGTAAATCCATTTCATGTTTCGGCTGCAGCTTTGAGCTGCATTCACAGCTCCACCTTCTCCAGCCCCACCCCCCCACCCCACCCCCCCACCCCCGGAAATCTGCAGTTCCTCCAACCTCCTTCCCAAAGTACGTGCATTCCTGAGTCCTAATTCCACCCTCCTTTTCTGGGAAGACCTGCAGCCTCTATCTGGAGTTTTCTTTTTGATTTTTAATTTTTCTTTTTATCCTCATCTGAGGACATGATTATTGGTTTTAGAGAGAGGGAAAGGGAGGGAGAGAAAGAGGGAAAGGAACATCAATGCAAGAAATATCCATCGGTTGCCTCCTGTATGGACCGCGACTGGGGACTGAACCTGCCACCTAGGCATGTGCCCTGACAGGGAATCAAACCCGTGGCCTTTCGATTTACAGGTCAGTGCTCCATCCAACTGAGCCAAACCATTCAGAGCTGGAGTTTTCTTTTTGTATAAAATGTGCCTCTCTTTCAGGTGACGGCTATCTTGGGGTTTTAGTGGCTTACGTATTCCTCTGTAGCTGGTCACTCCCCGTGTCACATCTGAGACTTGGAGCAGGCATCTTGGGGGGCCGTGCTGGATCCCAAGCTGGTGGATGCCGCCGCTGTCCCACACCCTCAGCAGTCCCTCCAGGGGACTGTGGACTAGCAGATCATGGCTATGCTGCCCACTCTTGGTTCACGGACACCCAGTCAACTGGCCTTGCTGGTGACCTGTCACCACACCCAAGAAAGACTATCTTCTACCTTCATAGTGACCCAGTGAAATTGTGCAGCTTCAAAAAAAAACACAGGACAGGTAAAGAATGTTCCTTTGTGGTCACCAATTGTGGCTCCCGGGGGTTAGAATACCCACCACTGGGGCCATGGAAGGGAGAAGCGAAGTAGGTTCATGGAGAGAAAACACACAAGCAGGGAAGATTTAACACATAAACATATTTAGGACAATTCCTCAAGAGTACCCAGCCTCCCCTTCAATTAAGGGACTTGGGGTTTCTAAATCGGCTTATGTGTGGAAATGAAGTGATATGTTGTACTTCTCTCTTTTCATGGCTCCTTGCAGATTTCTGCCGACCAGATCTAAGCTTTCCCGTTATCTAGATACTTCAACAGATAAACACAAGGGCCTCAGAGAACTGGGAAGGCTGTAGAAAGAAACAGCGTCAGCAGGCAATTAGTCCCTGCAGGAGGCAGATAGCACCCCAGGACTGGGGAGACGAAGGGAAGAAAACAGTTATCAGAACCTAATCTCTTGGAGCAGTGCCCTTGAGGAGCTGGAACCCAGCCCAGAAAAGGGGGCTGCCTGGGTGGAGCGGGGGTGACTGAGGAGATCCATAAAATCGGGTGGAAAAAGCTGCCACCAACTGCTCCTGGGCGACGCTCTGGAACCAGAAATTCCTTTCTTCCCCCGCCAGTCACTGGTCTCCCTCTAGCGCCCCCTGTCGGCAGAGCCGGGTATAAAAAGGCCGATTTGGAGCTGAGAGACAAAAGCTTAACAACCCAGCGGGCTCACTGTAGCCTTTGACGTTTCCAGATACAAACTAGTACTTTCCAAAGGCTTTGGAGCCAGGCGACCCAGATTCCTATTCAAACTTGGCCCCTTTTGAGCTGTGTGACCTTGTGTGAGTCATTTCTCTATGCCTCACTTTTCTAACCTGTAAAATGGAGACATTAGAACCTACCTGATAAGGCTGCCAGGAGACTTAACCGATTCTGTATGCACGAAGCACGTGACACAAAGCCAGACACACAGCACCCTGTGCGTGTTAGCTGTTGTCATTGTCATTGCCACAGTCATCGTTATCATTCTTTATGAGTCCTTGGGTTAGAGAGAACTACTTCAACCTCTTCGGGAGAAATTTGGTTGCCACACAGCACTTGGCAAGGTTTCAAAGCCACTTTGCGCCCCAAAGTGGCAGAGAGTTGGAATGCCTCCAATTTGGAGAAAGGCTGTTTTGGTTTTGATTTTCTGGGTGTGTTGGTTGTTGGTGGCTTTCTTGCTATTTAACTAATAATTGCTGTCAGCTCAGCCTTGTCATTACCAGTTTAGTTTATTATGGGTTGTTTAGTTACACTGCGTGCGTAATGATGCGTATTTGCTTCGATTCCATGTGTTCATGGCCTGTAATTTTCCACTAATTAGACTTTTTAAAGACACATATGCAGTTATCTCCTCAAATTTGCATCATCTGCTCCCCTGTTGCCAAAGCAGATGTACACAGCGCCCACCCATCCCCACGCCAAGAAATAATTCATTTTCATCACTGCGTTCTTTCTCTGCTGGGAAGTAGGAAGTGTGTGTGTGTGTGGGGGGGTGCAGATGGTTCTTGTCCCACTGAAGTGAGCGCCACCAAAGTACTGCGGACCAGAGGGGTTGCATAGGAGTCAAACAGAAACGGTAAGATGGAGGGGAGGGAGCAGGGCCAGAGCTACCCGAAAAACAGCAGCAAACTGACCCAGGACCTCAGACTCACTCCCAGCTCCAGCCCCTGCCCCCAAAGGATTCAGACGTCACCAGTTCCCCAAGAATCAAGCATCCAGACACCTCAAATCAAGTGGCTTTATTTCCCCAGTATGGGGAGCTGTGAGTGGGCTCTGTGGTCCATGTACCCTCAGGACCCTGGAGCTTCTCCCGCCCAGCGGGCTGTGGCAGGGCCTTCAACAGGCTGTGCCTGGGCGCCGGAGGCCGACCCTCCCAGGGTGGGGCTGGTTCTGGGAAAGCCTGGGGCCTGCTGTGGTTCGGTGGGATGTGACTCCCCGCAGTGGTCCCGACAGCGATCTAGGTGGGAAAGGCCACCTCTTCCAGAGGTCCTGGGCCAGCTAGGCCTTACTTTGGGAGCAAGAATGCCCCGAGGGGGCTACTTCTTGAAGTCCAGCAACAGGATTCAGTCTGGGGGAAAGAGAGAACAAGCGGTGGGCATCGAGAGGACAGAAAAAACGAAAGACTGGCCGCAAGGAGAGAGACCCGTGAAAAGCCCAGAGGAAACCAAGAGTGAACTGGGGCAAAGAGAGGGAGCGGAGAGAAATACAGGGGAGCACAGAACCAGGTAGTGCCAGAGACCAGAGATAAACACAGGCAGACCCCACACACTGACCTTTGGGCCCAGGCGGGGCTGGGGGCTGGGGCAACCCTGGGGGAAGCAACGCAGAGCGGCTCAGGGCTTCGGCCACCCAGCCCAAGACATGGCTACAGTGCTGGACCTAGGGAGCAAACAGGACAACATGGCACCAGATGGAAATCCACACCCATCCCATCCGTCCCACCCTCCCCCAGCCTGGCCTGGAGACCTCACCTGCTGTTCCAGCCCTTTCAGACGCTGCTCGTACTCGCGGATCTGTCTTAGCTGCTTCAATGCCGTGTCCACCCTGGGCACACAGGAATTCAGGCCTGTGCCTGCAGCCCACCAGCCCCACCCACCTGAAGTCTAGCTTCCTGAAACTCCACCTTCTTTGCCCCCACCCTTCCAGAACCGGACCGCTCAGGCTCCGCCTCTAACCTGATGCTTCCCAAACCGCAGCCCATTCTCCCCTCAAACTATGTGCCCCCAAGGCCAGAAACCCCGCCCCTGGCCAGGCCCCGCCCTCACTTCTGCGATGTGCGCTTCAGACGCTCAGAGTCACTTTCCCGCTTGTCCCTCGCACGCGCCAGTAGCAAATTCTCCTTCTGCACCGATTCCCACGTCAAAAGCCGCCTCTCATCGTCCTTATGGAGGTGGACCCCTGGAGAGCAGGGTCAGAAAAGAGTAAAGAGCCCGCCCCGTCTTCGGAACGTGCCCACTCCCAGACCCAGCCTCCTGGCTCAAAATCCTGAGTGACCCCTCCCAGACCACGCCCCCTGACAGCTTAAGCCCTGCCCACTGGTTCTTCCCAGACATCATCCCCAGCCTATCCACGTTCTTCTTTCTCTCCGGGTCCCGCCCCTTGTGTTTCTGTCTTATGGGCCAAGACCCGCTCTCACGAAAATGCGATGGCGAGCTGGCCCTGTGCCTGCACAATCGACGGATGAGGAGGCGCACGTGCGAGATGATGATGAAGGGTGGGGCCAGCGCAGGCCGAGAGTGAAATTCCCGGATGAGGCTATAGCGCTGCGCCTTCCAATAGAGGTCGCTGTTGCCCTGTACTTTGCCAAAGGTGTAGCTGTGGGGACCAGAGGTCAAGGGTCACTAGAAGTCAAAGCCCAGCCAGGGGCAGTGGATCAAGGTTAGATGTCAGGCAATATGTTCAAAGCACAAGGTAGCCGACAGATGTCAAAATCAATGTCAGAGGTTATTACAGGACGCAATTAGTAATTACGGTAGGAGGGCCAAGGGTCACAGATCAGAGGTCAAGTTGGGAATAATGTCATGGATTAGGGTAGAGGGTTAAATCTGTTAAATTCAGGTTTAAAAGTCAGTCTGAACACAAATAATTAAAATCAGCAATAAAAATGGGGGCATTACAACCAACCTTACAGAAATAAAAAGGATGATGAGAGAATACTATCAACCATTGTATGCCAACAAAAAAAGACAACCCAGGTGAAATGGAAAAGTTCCTAGACACACACAAATTACCTAAAATGACACATGAAGAAATAGAAAATCTCAAAAGACCTCTAACAAGAGGAAACTAATCAAAAATATACCCGAAAAAGCCCAGGACCAGGCTTCACTGGTGAATTTACCAAACATTTAAAAAACTACACCAATCCTTTTCAAACTCTTTAAAAAGGGTGAATAGGAGAAAACACTCCCTGACTCATTCTGTGAGGCCAGGATTATCATATCAATATCCAAAAATAAAAAAAGAATTACAGATCATGATTCTTTATGAATATACATACAAAAATTCTCAACAAAATACTAGCAAACCTAATTCAGAAGCATATTAAAGGGATTATACACCACGGCCAAGTAGGATTTATTACAGGAATACAAAGGTGGTTCAACATCAAATCAATCAATGTAATACAACATATTAATAGAACAAAGGAAAAAATTACAATCATCCCAACTGACACAGAAAAGGCATTTGACAAAACCTAATACCCTTTCGTGATTAAAAAAAAAACAACCCTCAGAAAATCAAAGAATAAAAGGAAACTTCCTCAACATGGTAAAGGGTAATTATGACAAACCCACAGCTAACATCGTACTTAATGAAGAAAGACTGAAATCTTTCCCTGAAGATCAGGATGCTGACTTTCACCACCACTATTCATTCTTGTACTGGAAATTCCAGCCAGAGCAATTAGGCAAGAAAAAGAAATAAAAGGCATCCAAAATGGAAAGGAAGAAGTAAAACTATCTCTCTTCACAAATGACATGATCCTATTCTGGAAAACCCCAGAGAATCACAAGAAAGCTGCTGGAAGTGAGTTCAGCAAAGTTGCAGGTACAAGGTCAACAAACAAAAATCAGTTGTGTATCTATATACCTGCCATGGAAAATCCAAAAAGGAAATTAAGAAAGCAATTTCATTTATAATAGAATCTAAAAGAATAAAGCACCTAGAAATGAATTTACACAAGTCAGTGAGAGGCCTGTACCCTAAAAATTACGAAACAATGCTGAAAGAAATGTAAAAGACATCCTAAATAAGTGGAAAGACATTCTGGGTTCATGAGCACAAAGACTGGATGTTGTTAAGATGTCAATACCACCCAAAGCAATCTACAGTATTGACTGCAATCTCTAAATTGCAACAGCCTAGAAATGGCAAAGCCAATCCTCTAATATATATGGAATTGCAAAGGCCCCAAAGAGCCAAAACAATCTTGAAAAAGAACAAAGACAAGGGCTCACATTTCCCAGTTTCAAAATTTTGCTACAAAATCAAAACACATCATGTTTCTGGCATAAGAACAAAGATATCAACCAATGGGATAGAGTTGAGAGTCTAGAAATAAATCCACACATCTAGGAGTGCTGTAGCTCAACATGTATCAAAGATATATCAAAAATATGTCAAAATCCTAACCCCTAAGTACCCCAGAATATGACCTTATTTGGAAATAAGATCATTATAAAGGTAATCAAGTTAAAAGAAGGTCATTAGGGTTGGTCACTAATCCAATGACTAGTGTCTTTATAAAGAGGGGAAATTTGACCCTGGCTGGTGTGGCTCAGTGGATTGAGTGCCAGCCTGTGAACCAAAGGGTCACAAGTTGGATTCCCAGTCAGAAAACATGCCTGGGTTGAGGGCCAGGTCCCCGGTTGGGGGCACACGAGAGGAAACCACACACTGATGTTTCTGTCACTTTCTCTACCCACGCCCCTCTAAAAATAAATAAATAAAAATCTTTTAAAAAGGGGGAGGAAGTTTGGACACAGACATGCACACAGGGAGAACACTTTATAAATGTGAAGAAAGACATTGGAATGGTGTACCTAGAAGCCAAAGTGTGCCAGAAATCCATCCAAAGCTGAGAGAGAGGCATGAGACAATTCTCTCTCACAGGCCTCAGAAGCAACCCACCCAGTCCCATACCTTGACTTTGGACTTCTAGTTTCGAGAACTGTCAAACACTAACCTTCTGTAATTGAAAGCCACCCACTTTGGGGTACTTTGTTAGGGAAGCCCTGGGAAACTAATGTGATGGGCAATGGATTCATAGTGCCAAGTCCATTCCATGGGGGGAAACAGCCTCTTCAACTAAGGGTCCTGAGAGAAGTGGATGTCTACCTGCAAAAAGAATGTAGTTGGATCCCTACCTCACACCATATACAAAAGTGAAGTCAAAATGGACTACCAACCGAAATATCGCAGCTCCCACCATAAAACAGGAGTAAGTCTTCATGACTTTGGATTTGGCAATGAGTGCTGACACATGACACCAAAGGTACAAGCAACAAAAGAAAAAATAAATTTGACTTCATCAAAACTCAAAACTTTTCCCTGGCTGGTGTAGCTCAGTGGACTGAGCATGGGCTGTGAACCAAAGGGTTGCCGGTTCAACTCCCAGTCAGGGCACATGCCTGGGTTGCAGGCCTTGTCCTTACTGGGGGCCATGTGAGAGGAACCACACACTGATGTTTCTCTCCCTCTCTTTCTCCCTCCCTTCCCCTCTCTCTAAAATAAATAAATAAAGTATTTTTTAAAAACCTCAAAACTTTCGCACAGCAAAGGATATTATCAAGAAAAGCGAAAGACAACCAACAGAATAGGAGAAAGTATTTGCAAATTATATATCTGATAGCAGTTTCATATCCAGAGTATATAAAGAAATTCAACAACAAAAAGACAACCCAATTAAAAAACAAGCAGAAGATCTGAATAGACATTTCTCTAATAATATACAAATAGGGTAATAAGCACGTGGAAAGATCCTCCACACCATTGGTCATTAGAGAAATGTGAATCCAAACCACACTGAAATGACCAGTCCATAGCCGCTAAGACGGCCACAACTTTCTGGAAAAGAAAATAACTGTCGGCAGAAACACAGAGAACTCGGAACCCTCGTCAGTTGCTAGTGGGGACGTGACAGGGTGCAGCTGCTGTAGAAAACAATTTGGTGGTTCCTCAAAAGAGCGAAACCTAGAATTACCATGTGACCCAGCATTCTAGTCTAGTAACGTACCCAAAAGATCCGAAACCAAAGATTTAAACAAATACGTGAATGCTAATGTTCACAGCAGCATTAATCACAACAGCCAAAGATGGAAACAATCCCAGACCCCATCAACAGAGGCATAAACCAAATGTCTTAGGTCAATGCAATGGAATATTACTCAGCCATTAAAAAGGAACGGAGCGCCAACACACGCCACAACATGAATGAACTTTGAAAACTTGATGCTACGAGAAATAAACCAGGCACAAAAGGTCAAATAGGGCATGATGCCACTTATAAGAAACATTGAGTACAGGCAAAGTCACAGATGTAAAGTAGGTTAGCCGTAGTCAGGCACTGGGAGGGGAGCAGGCAACGGGGAGTTGCTGCTTGCTTACAATGCTTTTGTCCGGAGTGATGAAAATGCTTTGCAAATAGTGGTGATGGTTATAAAAATTGTAAGTATAACTAATGCCACTGAACTGCATACTTAAAATAGCAAAAATGGTGAATTTCGTGTTATATATATTTTGCCACAATAAAAAAAAGATTTAAACATGCAGCCTGGGCTCAGGGAGAGGAGCAGAGCCCAAAGTCGGGGTCAGGCTGGGTCTGAGGACAAGCCAGCATTAGGTTTGATTCAAGAGTTCAGGGACTAAAGGGGAAACGAACAGGCTGGGATGAAGAATCATGCTGGGGTCAAGGGTCACGCTAGGGTCAAGGGTCCTCCTACCTGAACATGGCGATGAGGAGATTGACCAGCAGGATGTTGGCCACCAGCAGGAAGATAACGAGAAGGAGCACCACCAGCCAGTTGGCGTAAAGGGAGACGCAGTAGCCACCCTGGGCCCCGGAGGGGCGCGCCCACAAGCCCTTCTCCGATGAGCAGTTGTCGTGCTGCATGAGGGTCACTGCGAAGGGACAGACTCAGAGGTGGGGGCAGAGGTGGGGCCCTAACCAAGACAGAAACCCAGAGGGGCCGTGGGGAGCAGACACCCAGAGAGGGAGAGACAGAATCCCAGAAAGCAAGGGGGGCGAGACCCAAAGAGACACAGGAGGGGTCAGCGACGGATAGAAGAGGACAGAGTCCCCTAGGGATGAAGGAGAGGGGAGCATGCTCAGAGACCCACAGAGGCAGAGACTTAGTGAGATGGGTGAAGAGATCCATCCAGGCGGAGGATCAGAGGGGAAGGACGCAAGGGAGGGTGTCAGGCCCCTCCCCTTGTACCGTCCATTTCCTCCTGCGGGATCTGCCCAAAGATCTGCAGGTAGGGCCGGTAGAAGACGCGGCGCAGGATTTTCGGGAGGTCTTGGTCCTGAGGCCTAAGGAGACCCTCCGTGGCCACCCCGTAGGCAACCAGCCACACGCCGAGGAAGAACAGGAAGAAGAACACATCCTTCATCTGCAGGAGAAGTTGAGACCAAGTCTGGCCCCGCCCTCCCCAGCTCTGGCCCCGCCCGGTTCCCCTCCGGCCCCGCCTCCTCACCATCTTGCTCACGATGACAATCTTGGGCCCCAGCTGTTTATTGACCGTGAAGATATGCAGCAGGCGCAGCGTGAAGATCATGAAGTCGAGGCAGAGGACGGTGCGGCCCAGGTCATACAGGCCCGGGGTCAGTCTGGGGTGCAGGGAGAAAGATGGGGGTCACTCAAGGTCACAGGGTGCATAGGAAAACCTGTACCTTCCCAAGGCAGGCTTCAGGGGAGGCTGCAGCCTCCCCCAGGCCGGAATCCGGGCCGCCCGTTCACCCAAGTGTATCAGATTTCCCAATGTCAACAGGGTTGCTCCAGCAGGGGACCCAATAAACGACGGCTACGTAAGGCCACATAAAGCCACATAAACGATGGCCTAAACAGAAACCTGGGAGGTCCCTGTCACAATCGAGTTGAAAAAGCTGCTGGATATATGTCTCACCTATCAGAGGAAAAATATAGAGAGTTCTAGCAAAAACCAATCATCAGAAGAGAAAGGGCCTAACAGGAAAGTGGGGAAAGGCTGACGCACTATGGAGAGGAAGGTCAAATGGCCAATCGCATTGGTGAACTCTGGGGAAAATAAAAGTTATATTCCTATTTTGCATAATCATATATATAATCATGAACATAACATTTGTAAGTGGGAGCAAAGTTTTTGGAAAGACAGTTGATAGGAGTCCATGTGACTACTAGCTATGAAAAGATGCCCAATCTAACTAGTAGTCAGGGATGCATACATTTTAAAAAGAGGTCATTTTTACCAATCAGGGTGGCAAAAAAATTTTTTTATGTTAAACTCAGAGCTACAAAATTTTAAAGATTGAAAATATTAGATTTTGTCAAGGATATCTTCAAGAGGGTACTCTCTTACCCTGATGGGTATGTAAACAGGTGAAGCTATTTTACAAGAAAATCTATCCACATCAAGAATATACACAGTCCTGGCTGGTGTAGCTCAGTGGATTGAGTGCTGGCCTGCGAACCAGAAGGTCGCCAGTTCCATTCCCAGTCAGGGCACATACCTGAGTGGCGGGCAAGGTCCCCAGTAGGGGGTGTGTGAGAAACAACCACACATTGATGTTTCTCTCCCTTTCTCTCTCCCTCCCTCCCCTCTGTCTAAAAATAAAATCCTAAAAAAAAAAAAGAATATACAAACGTATACTTCGATCCACAAAATTTAAATCTAGAATGTAAACTTTTATTACTCTGGAATAATAAAAAATTGGGAAAAAAACAAAATGTCCATCTGGAAGGGCCTGGCAAAGCATAATGATTCATCCATGCCATTCGGGAGATCACTGGAAATTTCTCTATTGTAAGTCAAGATCTTTGGATTCTTTTCCCCATGTGATAATTTCTCTCTCCCCTAGAAAACAGTGAGCTTGACAAAATATGTGAAATATCACTGGAATTCCTAGAGCATGATAGCAGATAGCCTTAACACTTTAATCTCACACGATACTTTGTACAAAATACAAGAAATAAACACAAGCACAGTGTTCTGCGAAACTCTTTCATCACTGTTGGAATAAATTATTCATGTCATATTACTTGGTAGTATTCCTAACACAGCATGGGCAAAGCATGCCTCTCAGTGTGTCCACTGAGGAAAGACTAGAAGGTATCCCTTGTAAATAGTCCACAAAGCTCTTCCTCTGCTCTCCTTAAAAGGAGCAGTGTCCTACCTGCTAAGACTTTATAGAAAAAGAAAAAGAAACAGCAGCCACAGAGGACTGGACCCAGGGCAGCCAGTATATGATGAATATCTGGGAGAGAAACTGAAATAGACTTTGTGGAGAAATGTTCGGCCCACTTTCTACCTCTTGAAGTCCAAAGTTTTTGTCTCAATGCCTTATGAAAAGAATTCATTCATTCATTAAGTGCTGGCAAGGAGAAATCTGTCTTGTCTGATCTTTAGCCAATGATGGCTATAAATCCCTTCACCTGGAATCCGCCGCGGCATTTTTAAAGAATACGATACATTTGCAAATGCTGGCATGGAAAAAATGTCAGGACATACTGTAGAGAAAAAGGGAAGGTTGCAGAAGAATACATAAAACATAGTGTCATTTGTGTATAAAAGTAGTACATACATCTGTCCATGTAAATGCCTAGAAAAAGAACAGGCAGGGTGTGCACCAAACTGTCGATGGAAGTAACTGCTGAGAAAGTGAAGACACTTGAAAAGACTGAGGAAATCATTGGTTGTTGTTCTATGTCCTTCAGTTGTTTAATCTTGTTTAACGAGAACACATTTTTGCAGTTCTTTGGTAACAGAGTATATTTCAAAGATATCTTCAGGTGAGATAGAACAGAGTGACTTGAGGAGAGAGGCAGCACAAGGACACTCAGAGTGCCATGTGGGGAGACCTCAGGACATTAGGGAATGCAAAAGAGGGACACGGAGTCTGGGAAGGGGGAGAGAAGGCTTCCAAGACAGACACAGCAAAGCTGAGACCTAAAGGAAACACAGGAGTTGGCTTGGCCAAGGACGGGGGGGAAGCATTTCAGGACAGGGGGACAGCATGTGCCAAGACCCAAAGACGAGATAATTTGCTCCCAAGGACATTTCAATGTGCCCTTTGTGGCCCTTCTCTGGGCACCACACCGTATGACCGGGAAACTATGGAAGAAATGAACTAACATTATACAGCCCATTCTGGGCCACAGAAAGTATTTCAGGGGAATCCACAACTTGTTTTTTATAAATCAGCTAAGAAATAGTAGGGACGGGTACCGTTCCATGGACTAAACAGCTGACACAACGTGCAAGCCGCCCTGATGAAGTTTGAATCTATGACATTTGACCCAGGAAAACGGGACATGAAAGAAGTAAAAGCCACAAAGGAAAATTCACACACACAGACTCGAAATCTGGCAAAATTCAATACAGACAAAAACACGAATGATGAACCGAACAGTTGTGGCAGAACTTCACCCCCATAGCAGTTAACCGTACTGAAGTAATTCCAGAAACTGACAGTGACTGGAGCTATTTTCACTGCCCTGCATACAAAATTGATCAAGGAAGTTTCAAAAATACTTCCCTGATAAGAATTCATCAGTAGTGGTACAATTCTGCTAAAAATGTATAATTACACAAACACAAAGTATCCAGGACCAAGGTCAGAGCCCCTGTCCCGGGGGACAAAGGAACTGCAAGGAGATTTCTCAGAGGGTGGGAGTGAAGGAAACAAAGAAATCTGGAAACAGCCCTGCAGAGAAGGGGCCCTAGACCAGGCAGGGCCCCCACACCAGGCGCTGGGGCCCTGGGGAGGGGAGGGGTGGGTCAGCTCTGGGAAGAGCCTGGAGGCTGGGGTGCCCGTCCAGGTGGGGGAGGTGGCCACGGATGGAGAGGGGTGGGAGGAGAGAGTCAGGGGTGGGAGGTCCGGGGCAGGACCGCAGGCTGGGGAGAAAGAGGAGGGAGGAGGGGAAGCGGTGGCCAGCCTCCGGCCTGCTTTTGGTGGAAGATATTGAGCACAGCGGGACAGTGGTGCCAATGCAGGGCCAGGTTCAGGGGCTCAGAGAAACCCCCAGGAACCTCCAGATCTGGCGGAAACAGTGGCAGAAGCAGCGGGGCCCTCACTTTCACCACATCATCCCCGCAGCCAGATACCTCCGCGGCAGCACATTGCTTCTAGGCCATCTTTACACCGTCCTTCCCATCCAGAGGGGTTTTCTGTTTGTCGCTTCAAGAGTAGGCGGAGGGGGCGTTGGCCGCTCCGGGGCCAGAGGTCTGAAGGCCACGGGGACACTCACCGGCAGCCCACGCCCAGGAGGAAGCAGGTGAGCGCCACGAGGTCGCACTGGTTCCAGGTGTCTATGAGGTAGAGGTGCAGCCTGCGGCGCAGCGGGGCCCGGCAGGGGGTTGGCCCGGGACCCCCGGTGGCCAGGCTGCCCCAGCCGCCGCCCAGGCCCTGGCGGAACTCCTCGCAGAGCAGGGTGAAGGCCCAGAAGTACAGCAGCAGCTCCAGCGCCCCGGGCAGCGAGGGCCGGAAGTCCACCAGCAGCACCCGGGCGAAGAGCGTCAGGAAGAGCAGGTAGCTGACCACGTTGCCCAGGAAAGCCGTCACCGGCGCTCCCCAGAACTGGGACCAGCGCCGCAAGTGCGGGGAGCACCCGCTCCGGCTGGGCTGACTCAATACCCCCAAGGGCATCTTCTCAGAGGGGTCTGCTGGCCTGAGGGAGACGGAGGGAGAGGAGAGCTCAGCTTGACCTCTGGACCTGACCTTCACCATTAGCAAGACTGCTAACCTGTCCCATGGTCTCCCCACCCTCACGACTTCTGACCAGGTCTGAACTTAAACTAAGTCTGAGGTCTGCCGTCTCCTTGACTTGTGACCCCTGTATCTAACCTCTGACCTCTGAAATCTCCTACCATCAAGACTGCTTACCCTTCACTCTGACTCCTGTCACCCTTCTGACCTCTGGCTCCTGGGATGATTTCTGACTCTTCTCTGGCTTCTGACTCCAAGTCCTGTGCTTTCACTATCACCATCTCTGACTCTCTGTCTGACTTTGAACCATCTACCTGACCTCTGACCCTCCAGTATGACCTCTGACCCCCTCACTTGCATGACTTTGGGTCCCCAAGGTTGAAAACTCAGATCCCGCATATTAACCTCTGACTCAGGTTCTGAGATCAGATTACCGAGTCCAGTCCTCTCATGTAAGCCTTCCTGCCCCATGTCTGGTATCTGGCCACACAGCCATATTTGGCTTCTGAATTCCCACCTTCTTGGTCCGTGCGTATCTCCGACCCTTCTCTCCCAAGTTCTGATCCTCGGTCCCAATTTCATCCTGACTCTTAATGGTGACCCCAAAGAGAAATGCCAAGATGAGTAATACTAATAGTAATACATTCAAAAAGCTAACAGGGAAAACAAACAGGTTTGGAGAGGCACTGTCTCTTCACAAACCAAGCAGACAAAAATAATCCCGAAGTAGAAACTACCCAAATGTTCATTACGTGATGAATGGATAAATAGAACGTGATCTCTCTGGACAATGGGATCTTATTCAACAAAAAGAAGGAATGAAGCCCTGGCTAGTGTAGCTCATTGGATTGAGTGCGGGCTGCGAACCAAAGCGTCACCGGTTCGATTCCCAGTCAGGACACATGCCTGGGTTGTGGGCCAGGTCCCCACTGGGGGCCACATGAGAGGCAAAGGCACACTGATATTACTCTCCCTCTCTCTTTCTCCCTCCCTTCCCCTCTCTAAAAATAAATAAATAAAATCTTAACAAAAAAAAAGAAGAAGGAACGAAGCCCTGGCATATGTTGCAACATGGAAAAATCTTGAAAACATAATGCTATGTAAACAAAGCCAGCTGTGAAAGATCCCACCCATAGTGCACACTTCTGTCTATAGGAAAGGCCAGAAGAGGCAAATCTACAGGGACAGAGAGTGGACCCGTGGTGGCCCAGGCTCTGGGGAGAGGAGAACGGGGAGTGACTGGCTGTTAATGAGGACAGAGTTTCTCGTGGCAGTGATGAAAATGTTTTGAGATTAATTGTGGTGGTGATTTCACAACTCTGTGAATATACTAAAAACCGTTGAATTGTATAACCTTAAGTGGGTGAACGGAATGGTATGTGAATTATATCTCAGTAAAGCTGTGCTAAGGAAATTAAGTGGACCCCAGCTACTGCTGGGGAGCACAGCACTGTCTCTATGCACCAAGGCTGTGGGTTTGATCCCCAGTCAGGACACATACAAGAACCAACCAATGAATGAATCGGTAAGTGGAAAAACACATAGGTGTTTCTCTCTCTCTCCCTAAAGTCAATTTTTAAAATGTCATATTTTAAAAAAGAAGTGGAAAGACCAGTAAGAGCTAAAGACAGTGAGAAGCAGAGAGGAGCACAAGGGAATGACAAGGGAAACGGCCCTGAAGTTTCCATTGCGCCCTCTACAGCATCGTGGGACTGAGACTGTGTGGTGGGTCAGAACGCTCCCCGAGGACTGCCATCTTGAAAACCCACAGCTGGGCCACACAGATTCCTGGGCCCAGCCCCAAGCCTCCCTGGGAGAGGGGCCAGGGATATGTCCGTGGCTAAGAACCCAGATTCGGGCATAAGAAGACCTGGGTTCAAAACCTAGCACTACCACTTACCGGTCATGTGACCTGAGTCACATAAGCGAAGCCCTCAGTTACTTCACCTGTTACTGAGATGGTACTAGAGCCTACTGCCCAGGGTTGTCGAGAAAATTAAATGAACTGATTTTCAAAGGACTTCGCACCACAGCTGCCCATTGTCAGTGTTCTACGACACCAGCTATTGTCATGGTCATTGTCACCATCACGTGCAGAAGGTGGGAAATCACTTGGCCAGCATGCCACTATTGGCCCTGACATGGGGCCTTCTATCCAAACTTTTTTTTTAAAGAAAGTTTTAATTATTTATTTTTAGACAGAGGGGAAGAGAAGGAGAGAAACATCAATGTGTGGTTGCCTCTCATGTGGCCCCCACTGGGGACCTGGCCCGCAACCCAGACATGTGCCCTGACTGGGAATCAAACCAGTGACCCTTTGGTTCCCAGCATGTGGTCAATCCACTGAGCTACACCCGCCAGGTATCCAGCCTTTTGAAGTATATACATATATATATACACACACACATACATATACACTCACCGCCTCACATGAGTGAGGCGCCAGTGCTTCACTCACCTGAATGGCCCTTCCCCATTGAGGCCCCCATCCACACCCAACCCCATGTCCTTCTGTTCGGGCTCCTCGTCTGACTTCCTGGCATGGAGAGAAGCACAGTGTGAGAAATGGTCGGGGGCTGGGGGTGGAGAGGAGAGAGCGGGAGAGGACTTCCCCAGGGATATCCAACCTCTTTACCCAGTGACACAGCAGGGGGACAGAGGGGTGGCCCCCCTAGAGTCACCCCAGAGAGAACTGTCCCCGAGCCAAGCCGGAGGGCAGAAGAATTGCTCCTACAGATACAGAGAGCCCCCCTCTGCCCCCAAAGCTCACCTCCCAGCACATGCCGCCAGTGTTTGGGAGGGAAGGAGAGAGAACAGGTGGGAAACGCTGGACAGACTGAAAGGTGGCCAGACGCGAGCAGGGAGAGACAGAGCACCCACTCCTGCCAACCTGCCCCGGGGGACTGACCTGAAGGTGATTAGGTTGGTGTAGATAAGTGGCGGGCAAAAGAAGGCGAGAACCAGGGCCCAGATGGGCGTGGTGCTGTCCATCTCCCCCCACCACTTCTGTGTCAGCAGAGACTGCGGGGTGTGGGGGAGATGAGGAGCCTGAGTCCCGCCCCTGCCCCCGCTCCCGCCCCGCCCCACCCACCCAGTCCCTCCCCCGCAGACCCCGCGCAAGAACTGGGCCACAGCTCCAGAGTGAGGGGCAAGTGCTCAACCTGCAGACGTAAGGACTGAGGTGGGGGAAGGCGGTCAAAGGCGAGGACCACCCTACCGCAGGTTTGAGCTAGTAGTTACACAGCCCACGTTTATGAGCACAACGTGCCAGGTACTGCGCTAAGGGACTAGCCCACCTGACCCTCACCACACTCTCAGGAAGACAGGTACTAATGTTTCCTCCCTTTTCACAGATGGGGCACGGGGAGGTTAAGAAAAGGCCATCAACAGACCCCATGAGTTTAACCACTATGCGGCGCAAAGGACTCTGGGTAATTCTTTGTAATGCCAATCAAATCATTCCTATGGCTGAGGATGGGGCTTCCTGTTGGGCTGAGCTGGTCTTCCTGGCACATCCTGTATGGAGGGTAGGCCTGCTGGTGTCCCCTGTCACATGCAGATTGAGGATACTGAGAAAAGTTCCAAATGTTGGGATGGGAAGGACTATCCGGGCAAGCAGGGTTGCCCAAAAGAGAGGAATTCCTGCAGGAGGAGTGGGGTTTCCCAGACCAGAGTGTGTCTGCGTCCAGAACACTAGGAAATTGCCTGGTGAGGTCATTCCAATCCCTGAGACCTGGAACCGGGATCTTCTAAGGAGCTGGGAGGGGCTTCCTGTGCGTCAGGTGCGATTTCCCACTACAGGCATTAGGAATTCCTGTATGCTGAGGGGACCGTTTCAGATGGTGGGCTTTGCTGTGGCAGGGGGTGTGGCTTCCCAGGGGAAGAGCAGCTTTTCTGGGACAGGGCTGAGGGGTGGTCTGGAGCGGGAGAGGCTGGCCTAGACCGTTGCCTGCCCGAAATGGCAGAGCACAGCTGGGGACCTGGGGACGGTTTGCATGCTGGGTCTCAGACGCCCACCTGCACTCCATCCTGCGCAAAGAAGGCACGGGCGTCGGCCTGCATGGCAAGCTGCAGACAGGTGGCGTTGCCCCAGAACGGGCAGCGTCGGAGAAGCAGGCGAGCAGCCCACTCCTCGCTGTTGTGGTAGCATTTGCCAAAGAGGTCTGAGAGCAGGGGGTTGATATGAGAAGAAGAAAAATGAGTAAGGAGACGAGGGAACAGACAAGGAGATTGACGGGGCGGGGGCAGGGTTATGAGAGGACTGGGGAGAAGTACGCACGCCGCTTAATGGCGGCCTGTGTCCCTGCCCCGCCCCTACTCTGCCCCCACGCACCAACACTTAGCCCCTCAAACTTGGCCGCCAGGTCCTTCCTCCGCGCTGCCTCCTCAGCCTCCGACTCCAGGCGCGCCAGCACCCGGAGCAGCAAACAGGCCCCAAGAGCTGAGGCCACGGCGTTGGAGCCCTGGAGGGACAGAGGGGGCGGTCACGGATGGGGTCGGAGCGAGATTCACAGAAGGCTGAGGTAGGGTCAGAAAACCTGGGATCAAGGGAAGGACAGCAGCCAGAGGTCAGATCGAGGGGGTCAGCAGAGCCCAAGGATAAAGTAATGTTTGCTGATGGATCTGGAAGAAACCGGACGTACAGGGGAAAGGTGGGAAGTCAGATGGCTCAGAAACCAGGATCTGGGGCTGGAGTTAGAAGGGCATCACAGGTTACAGACAGACAGGCCGGGAGGCAGCTGGAAACACCGCCTAGAAGGGCAGAGCAGAGAACTTCCACGCTCCGTCCCTCCACAAAGGCCACAAGATACTGTCAGGATCAACTTTTCTCGAGTTCTGGAATCTACTATAAAACTCACAACAAACAGGAAAGTGCTTAATGAAAACAGAAACTGCTGAATTTCAATGAAAAAAGCACCATGATGTTTTTACTGTATTTTGCTGTGTATAAGGCACACTTATGTTTTTGGCCCAAACTTTCAGGGGAAAAAAAATCTTTCGTTTTAATTTTTAAATTTGATTACTTATTTATTTATATTTAGAAACAAAACTGATTATCATCTTCCAGGGTATTATTTTGCATACAGATATTGTAATTGCCTTCTAGAGTTATACTTTTAACACATAGCATAATAAAAGAATTAGAAACACTTATATAGATACGGAATCAGTGCCGCTCATGTATAATGCACATCCTTATTTTTCCCTCAAAAATCTGGGCGAAAATATGGGCATTATACACGGTGAAATACAGTAACTAACCCGTTTACCCTGGCCAACTCCCCAGCTCAGTGGCAGCCTTGAAGGTGTGGGTTTTCAGTATCAGAGGCAGCAACTCAGATCTTACTCTTGAATAATTGTGATTGTGAGTGTGGACCTCGCTGGGGGCCCCCGGAACAACCAGCTCAAGCCCTGGCTGCTATGGCTCAGTGGACTGGGCACCAGCCTGCGAAACAAAGGGTTGCCAGTTCAATTCCCAGCCGGGGCACATGCCTGGGTTGAGGGCCAGGTCCCCAGTAGGGGGTGCTCAAAAGGCAACCACACACTGATGTTTCTCTCCCTCTCTTTCTCCCTCCCTTCCCCTGTCTAAAAGTAAATAAATAAAATCTTAAAAAAAAAAAAAAAAAAAGAACCAGCTTAAGAGCTTGCCTTTCTTTCTCCAGTTCTTGGAGTTTCTCCAGGGCAAAAGTAGCCTCCCAGGGGGTGTTTGAAAGCATTTAAAAATAAAGGTATTAACCTCAGCTTCCCTCTTACAACTCAAGAACAAAGAATAGTGGTTTAGGCTTGTGATATACTGAACAGGTTGGGCGGGAAGCAACTAGGGAAATAGATACCTGGGGGAAGCTGTTTACTAAGCTTCTATAGGTCCCTGGGGATCAAGGAGGCTACGGGCAGTACTGTAGCTCAGAAAAGGCGAGCAAAGCCCTAAGCTTTCATTCCTGGCTGACCTTCAGGCAACAAAAGCAGGAAGTGACAGCTAAGGTAGAATGGTAAACGCCCTGCCTGTGTTGAAAAACAGCTCTGACACAGGGTGAGTCAGCAACCTGAGGGAGTGTGGGGTTTCCCCACTGCAAGCATTTAAGGAAATCTCTATCAAGTCACTAGTTGACCACTAAGCTAACAGGACAGGGACTTCAGTGGCCACACATGACAAAGAATATAGACTTTACAAAAATAGCTTACAGTCCTGGCTGGTGTGGCTCAGTGGATTGAGTGCCAGCCTGTGAAGCTAGGGGTTGCTGGTTCGATTCCCAGGCAGGGCACATGCCTGGGTTGCAGGCCAGGTCCCATTAGGGGGTGTGCGAGAGGCAACCATACATTGAGGTTTCTCTTTTTCTCCCTCACTCCCCCTCTCTCTAAAGTAAATAAATAAATAAATAAATAAATAATAAGTCTTTTTAAAAATAGCTTAAAAGGGTCACTAAACAACAACCCACAAAAAACACTGGAGGAAGGGATTAAGCTGCTATCTAGAGTTGCCAAATTATAATATTCAAAATGTCCAGTTTTCAACAAGAAATTATGATGTGTACAAAGAAACAAGAAAATATGGTCCATTCACAGGGAAAAAATAAAAATTGTCCCTAAGGGAGCTCAGGCTACACTTAGACTTTATATCAACTGTCCTAAATATGCCTAAAAAGCCAAAGGAAGTAACGAACAAAGAACTAAAAGAACCCAGTAAAGTGATGTCTTCCCACAAAGAGAATATAAAGAATAAGAAAGAAATTATAAAAGTAACCAAATAGAAATTCTGGAGCTGAACAGAACAATAACCAAAATAAAAAAGAATTTACTAGAAAGGCTCAATAGTAGCTTTGAGGCAAAAGAAAGAATTTTGAACTTGAACTTTTCACAGAGTCCATGTGACCACCAACAGATAAATGATAAACAAAACACAGACCATCAGTGGAATATTAGTCAGCCTTTAAAAAGGAGGAAATTCTGGTACGTGCTAGCACAAGGATAGACCCTAAGAACGCCATGCTACGTGAAGAAAGTCAAATGAAAAAGGCCACATAATATATGATTCCACTGATGTAAGCCATCCCAAATAGGCGATCCATGGAAATAGAGAGCGGACTAGCGGGGACCAGGAGTGATGCTTAACAGGTATGGGTTCCTTCGGGGAGCCAATCACAATGCAGCGGAACCAGGTAGAAGGGGTGGTTGCACCACAGCATGAGTGTGTAATTTTATTTTATTTTAATTTTTTATGAGTGTATAATTTTATTTTATTTTATTTTAATTTTTGTGAGTGTATAATTTTATTTTATTTTATTTTGTGAGTGTATAATTTTAAATGCTTAAAATGGTACACTTGAAGATATATGAATTTTATGTTAATGAATAAAATCTGTATTTAACTCATGACCCGATAGCTTGAAAAAACCCAGCGCTGAAGGAGTCCTGTCAAAATATTTCTCTAAAACATAGACATGAGGCCTGGTTGGTGTGGCTCAGTGGATTAAGCACCGGCCTGTGAACCAAAGGGCCACCGGTTCAATTCCTGGTCAGGGCACATGCCTGGGTTGCAGGCCAGGTTCCCAGTTGGGGGGCATGTGAGAGGCAACCACATATTGATGTTTCTCTCCCTCTCTTTCTCCCTCCCTTCCCCTCTCTCTAAAAATAAATAAATAAAATCTTTAAAATAAAATAAAATAAAATAAAGACCTAAAAATAAGCTCTATCAGCCCTGGCTGGTGTAGCTCAGTGGATTGAGCACAGGCTGCGAACCAAAGCATCACAGGTTCGATTCCCAGTCAGGGCACATGCCTGGGTTGCAGGTCATGGCCCCCAGCAACCGCACATTGATGTTTCTCTCTCTCTCTCTCTCTTTCTCCCTCCCTTCCCTTTCTAAAAAAAAAACAAAAAACAAATAAATAAAATATTTAAAAAATAAGTTCTATCTTAGATCCTATTGGAATTCCAAAACTTTTAAAAAAGATTTTATTTATTTGTCTTTAGGGAGAAGGAAGAGAGGGAGAGAAACATCAATGTGTGGTTGCCTCTCATGTGGTCCCCCCACTGGGGACCTGGCCCGAAACCTAGGCATGTGCCCTGACTGGGAATTGAACCAGCGACCCTTTGGTTCGCAGGCCCGTGCTCAATCCACTGAGCTACACCAGGCAAGGTGGTAAAACATTTTGTTTTAACTTTGCAAACTTCCTCAATGGGTCCCAACACCTTTATCCCGCCTGTTGGAGACCAGCCTCGTCCCCCTCAGCTGCTTGCAGGACCCCAGCTTTACGGTCTTACCTGCTCCCTTGCCTCTAGTTTTGTGCCTTCTGCATTGCAGCTACAACAACGCATCAGAATTGCAAGAGTACCCATGTTTAAACAGCTCCCCTCAGCTACAGGATACCGTCTAACTTTCTCGTACAGGCAACCATTTGAAAGAATGAGGCCGATTCACATGTATGACCAAGGGAAAAGGCCCGATATATACCGTCAACGGGAAAGGCAAGTTACAAGAAGAGCACGATATGGAAAAACAGGAGAAGAAAAGGAAGCAGCAGCAGCTGGAGTCATACACGGGGAGTAGAGGCCCGGGTGACACCAGTGGTCAGGGAATCGTATTGCAGGGACACTAGAGTCTGGTGAACTAAAAGGACAGGGATGGAGGACAGTGGCATCAGAGATCAAGTCAGCACTCACTATCTCCCAGAAGTACAAGGCCATCTGGGCCCTGTTCAGTAGCAGCGCCCAGAGGAACAGGTCACTCCAGGGGGTCTGCCCGAGGACGGCGTCCAGCATGAGGTCCGAGGTGGCCCTGACCGAGAGCAGCAGTGACTGCAGGCGAGGGAGGCGTGGTGAGGATTGGCCCCGCCCCAGATGCCTGCCTGGCTCCGCCCCAACCACAAGACCCACCCCAGTTCCTTCACAGACCCCGTTATCTGACCACGCCCCCTCCCAACGTAGCTCCATCCCCAGGTCCTTCTAGGTGTTCCCCTCCCAGCGTCGCCAGGTCCTTACGCTCTCCGGGCCGCCACGGTCGTTCTCCCTGCAGTCGTGGTGGTCATGGTGGTCATGGTGGGGATCCCCGGTGGCCCAGGCGTGGTACCTTGGCGCACACATCTCACCTAGCAGCATCCGAAGCACCTGCCCCACGTTAGGGAGTCGGGGCTCCGCAGAGGGTTTAAAGACTGGGGTTTTGGTGCCCGCGCTGTGCGACGCCTGGTCCAGAAGGCTGCGGATGAGCGAGCTGGGGGGCGCTGCGTTGTACAGCTGGGCCAGGCGCGTGGGAGTCAGGAAGTGACACAGGCTAAGGCCGTGAGAGATGAGCAAGCGCACGAACTCGGGCCGGTCATTCAAGAGAGCGTCCTCGAGGGAGGCCTCCAGGTGGACCGACTGGCAGGTGTGGGATGAGCAGAGACAGAGAGAAGGCCAGATGAGGTCAGAGGTTAAGAACAAGAGATGCGTGTGCAGAACGGGGTGACAAAATGGATGCACGGGTGAATGGATGGATGAAGAGGGAGGGAACAAGATGGGGACAGATGGACAATAAGAGATGGGTGGACAATTACAAGAAAATTGGAAAGGACATAATGGAAGACTGGGACAAATGTCAGGGAGGCAGGAGGATGCATCCCCCTTGTTGGGACCCCCCCCTTCCAAACCCTCACCCGCCACTGGATGTCACCCCGGAAGAGTTCACTCTGGGCAATGTCTACACGGTTCCAGGCCACAGCCAGACGCAGCTCGTCCAGGTAAGCTGAGGCCTCAGAGCTCCCGCAGGCTGCAAGGGTGAGAAGGGGAGGGGGCAAGAGTCAGCGGGAGGGTGGGAACATCCGGGGAATGTTTGTTTTGCTAAGTTTTGGGATGCCTGACGTTTAGATCCCATATAAAGGAGGTGTTATCCGGCAGAGTCTGGGGTCTTCAAGAAGCCAGGCTATTACAAGCAAAAGGTCATTCAAGTCAGGGGCAGAGCACAGACCAGCGGTTTAGCGGCCCCGAGAAGGAAACGGAATCATTCATTCATTTCACATGGATTGAGGTAGGTTGTGGACCAGGCAATAGGAGGAATAGGGCGGGAAAGTGGATATGGTCCCTGCCCTGAAGGAGCTCCTTCCAGGAAAACCTAACCTGGAATGACGTAACCACCCTCAGAGTGATGGGCGCCCTGGGAGGCAGGCAGAGCTTGTGATTAGGGCCCAGGGAGCGCTGCAATCACGGAGGTTTGAACGATCCAAGGAAGCCTCGAACAGGATGGGCACTGAGGAGGGACCTTTTTTTTTTAAAGGTTTTACTTATTTATTTTTAGAGTGGGGGGAAGGGGAGAAGAAAGAGAGAAACATCCATTGTTTGCCTCTTGGACAGGCCCAGACGGGGGGACCAAACCCTTAACCCAGGCATGTGCCCCCCCCTGGAATCAAACTGGTGACCTTTCACTTTGAGGGATGGCACCCAACAAAATGAGCCCCACCAGTCAGGGTGAGGTGGGGTTTTGAAAGACAGGTAGGATGCCCTTGCCGGTGCAGCTCAGTGGATTGAGTGCCAGCCTGCAAACCACAGGGTCACCAGTTCAATTCTCAGTCAGGACAGATGCCTGGGTTGCAGGCCAGGTCCCCAGTAGAGGGCGCACAAGAGGCAACCACACATTGATGCTTCTCTCCCTCTCTTTCTCCCTCCCTTCCCCTCTGTCTAAAAATAAATAAATAAAATATTTTAAAAAAATTTAAAAAGAAGGTACGACGGGTAGGATTTGAAGGTATGCATCTAAGGTGAAAAAAGAACCTTCGCGGCAGCAGGAACAGCTTGAGCAAAGACTGGTGCAGGAAAACACCGGATGTGACCGCAAACACAGGACACTCTGATTCCCTGAAACATGGGGCATGTGTGAGAGGAGAGAGGAGACAGTAGCAGAAAGCGAGACTGGAAACAATCCCGACACAAGAGGGGCTCCGGAAGACCCAGGAGGTCCTTAAAACGAGCAAGGAAGACTAAAGGGCCTTTAAAACTCAGACCCAACCATTGGGTGGATGCAGAGCATGCGCACTCAGCAGGGGCCTGAGCGGTGGGAGGCACGCAGTGGACCCCGAAAGTAAAGACAGGTCTGGGCGCTGCTGCGTCCCGGGGCGCTCGGCTATGGCGTTATTTTCTCCTTCCGCCTCCGCTAGCTCCACATCTATCTCCAAAGCAGAGGAAGGACCGTTGTCTCGTTTAGGCCCTTCCAGAGATCCGCAGGGCAGGGCTAGGGTGCCCAGAGGAGAGGATGTGAGCAATGTGCTCCGAGGACGGTCCCATCCCAGCTCCACCAAACCCAACTGAAGGGCTTTGGGTGAGCCTCGGTCGGAAGCCTCAGTTTCCTCACCTATAAAATGGGAATGCTAATGGGAAACTACTTTGGAGCACTGCCATCAATAGGAATTGTAGGAAGAAGTCCCAAACGGGGAAACTATAGCTTGACCAGTGGAGCCCCTAAGGCTGAGAACCGAGGAAACACAGGCCCTGAGAGAGGCGGTCACAAGCAGAGATTTCAGATTTCTGTTCAAAGCAGAGGCACCTCCAGGATGGAATTTTCTGAGTCTGGATCTCCCCTCCTTCCCTCACAGATTCAAGAAAAGAAAAATATACTTAAATATCTTGCATTATATTCTGCCTTCACACGTGGCAGCGGATCTTCATGCTCACCATTTCCCATGCTGAGCTCACGGAGGGGGGGGTCCCCAAAACCCATCTTCCCCTGGGTCCTCACTCTCGGGGACAGCAGCTATGCCCCGCCTCTGTCCCCTCCCTCCCCGCCAGTCTACAAGGTGGACCCTCGAGTGCTGTTCTGGTCCCTCTCTTCTTTCCAGAGCTTATTGATCCCCAAGCCCTACCTCTCTAGCCCCCTGACTCCAACCCCCGTACTGACCCCATGGCCCCAGCTCCCTCCTGTCCCACCACCACTGCAGTCTCCTTGTTCCTCAGTCTACCCTCTCTAGTCTGCCCCCTCCTGACCCTAGAGGGTCCTTCTGTACACAGAACTGACCCTGTCCCTCCCAAGTGCCTCAGGACAAAGTCTCAGTGAAGGTCCTGCGTGGTCTGGCCCCGCCTACCTCACTGGCTGTCTCCTGTCACATGCTTCACGCCATCTACGTGGGTCTCTGACCTCTCCCCCAGATACACCCCACACAGTGGGTGTGAGAGTCAGGCAGACCTTTGTGACCTCGGGCAAGTCACCGCCCCCCCCCCCCGCCCCGTGTCTCAGTTTCTTCATCTGCAAAGTGGGGAGCCAGTCCTCATGGGCAGCAGTGGAGGCCCAGGGGCAAAAATGCATGCGAATGGCTCAGCGCAGTGCCTGGCTCGCACGAGACTCTGAGGGAGCCTTTGTTCCCTCTCCCTCCTCCCTCACCTACTGGAAACCCCATCCATGTGACTCTGCTATCAGGGAGCCACTCAGCCGGCTCCAATTTCTCAGAGAGAGTAGGGTCACTTCCACTTCTGTGGACCAGGGACTGACTTACAACACTGCCCCCAAACCGTGTCTTACAGAGCTGTTGCTTTGCTCCCAAGAAGCTCGCATAGTAACTTCGTGCATTAACTTCCGTAAAGTGAGGCAGACTTGCCCACTCTCATCCTCCATGTAAGGATATGTCCCCACAAGAAACAGAATCACTCTGAGCCCTGGCTGGTGTGGCGCAGTGGAGTGAGCCCCGGCCTGGGAACCAAAAGGTCGCTGGCCCGATTCCCAGTCGGGGCACATGCCTGGGTTGCCGGCCAGGTCCCCAGTTGGGGTGTGTGACAGGCAACCGGTAGATGTATCTCTTGTAGATTGCTGTTTCTTTCCCTCTCTTTCTCCCCCTCTTCCCTTCTTTCTAAAAGCAAAATAAATACTTAAAAAAAGAAAAAGAAAAAGGGTCACTCTAAGAAGAGCTCCCATATTGCACCCCACCCCCGCCCCCGGGGAGCAGGCCCAGGTGCCATTGCCATTTTTCAGAGGAAGAAACTAAGACTCAAAGGGGGCGAGTCTCTTTCTCAAGGCCAAGCAGCCGGGAAGGGGCCAAGCTGGTATCCAAGTTCAACTTTCTTGGACTCCAAGGTCAGAAGTAACTGCTCTCTCTGCCACCACAGAACAGGGTGGGTACAACCGGGGCGGGGCCTGGGGCTGAGAACCCATTATAAATTGATACTGTGGCTCTTGGGAGTTCTTATCTAAGCCAATGTTCTGTAAATGCTCTGTAAACAATGCTCTGTAAAACTCTTCTGACACCCACACCCCACAGAGCCCCAGGAGTCCCCACTACCACTTATTTATCCCGCCTCCTCATCTTACCAAGTCCAAATTCTACTGCTTGTTCCAGGTCCAATTTGCATACCACTTCTTCCTGGAATCTTCTGCCCTTATTGGCTGTGCTTCCTCCCCTAAACTTTTGTCTTACATTTCCTTTTGGGTTGTGTCCAAACAACCCTGGTAGGGACCCCTGAGTGCAGGATAAGGACCTGCCCTAAGCTCTGGAGCCTGGGATGATGTTTGTGGAATGAATGAACCAGCCCCATCCTCTACCAAGCGGCCACTGTGCTCTTGACCTTGGCTTTTGTCCTTCATTCCCCTAGTGGAGTATCAGGAGGTCCTCACTGGGAGACAGTGCTCTGGCCCATCTCTGACTCCTCCACCCCGCAGTGCTTGAAGCATGCTGGAGGTAAGTGGGAGGGGAAGAAAGGGTGAGTGGATGAATAGATGGATGGATGGGTGGGTGGAGGGAAGGATGGATGGAGGGAAAGGTGGACAGATGAAAGATGGATGGATGGAAGGATGAGGAGTGCATGGAATTGTCAATGGATGTGCAGATGGATAGGTAAAAGGATGGGTGGATGGCAAGATGGATGGAAGGAAGAATCGAGAATGAATGGAAGAAGGGGTAGGTGGAAAAATCAATGTATGTATGGATGGATGCATGGATGAGTGGGTGGATGGATTACTGGATGTATGGACAGATGGATGAGTGGGTACATAAATGGATGAATGGATGGATGGATAAGTGGGTACATAGATGGATGGGTGGACAGACGGATGAATGAGTAGGTAGATAAATGGATGGATGGATGGAAGGATGGATGGATGGATGAGTGGGTGGATAGGTGGACTGATGCATAAATGGATCTGACAGAAAGAAGGCAATGTTGGAACTCAATGAAAGTATCATGGGAAACAACGCAAAGCCTCAATAAACCACACGAAGGGGAATGGTAGAGAGAGAGAGATCAAAAAGAGGCGCAGCCTTGGACAAGAGAGAATGGGTGAAGTGCCCAGGCCAGGAAGATTGTCCCACATTGAGCACACAGAGTGGGAGAATCTGGGGGTCCCAGTCTTACCCTTGACAAGAGCTCTCAAAACGACGGTCTCAAATTCCTCAGGGCCGTCCTCGGACGAATAGACCGTCAGCAGCTCCTTCCTGGTCATGATCCTCTCCACCTGCAGAATACCAAATTCTGCATCCCTGCCCAACTCCACCTGGGCCCTGCCCACAGAGACACAGGCAGCCTTTAGGACCTGGTATTCTGGGTACCCAGCACCTGCAACTCCCAGAACCCGAGAGTCCAGGCCCCCAGGCTTCTCTTCCCTCAGATCCACACATCTGGGTTCCCATCACCCTCCTCCCTTGGATCTAGGACTCTAAGCCCTCGGCGAGCACCCTCTTCTCTCAACACCCAGGAGCCCAGGTCCCTAGCCCCCCTGTATCTCAGGGCCCAGAGCTGGATCCATGATGTCATACCTGGGCCTGCAGGACCTCGGGATCCCCATTGGGGAAGAAACGACTAATCCGATTTCGGGCGTCACCTCGCCTGCCCGCTCCATTCCCTGGTGCCTGAGTGTCTTCCAAGATCTCCGCCAGGCAGTCCGCAGCTCCCCCAGACCCGGACACCAGGAGGCAGGGGAGCTGAGCCTGGGTGGCGTCCTCTATCCGCTACCAGATAAAGTGGGGGAGTGAGATCGGGGAAGGCAGGTATTCACCCCACCTGAAGTACAGGTCCCCAGGCCCCTCCTCCCGGGAAGCGAGGGGCCCACACTTTAAACCCAAGTGCCTGGGCCGCTATATACCTTCAACATCTTCTCATCACCATCGATGAGGAGGAGGAGGACAGGGATGTCAATTCCAGTCCCTGAGGAGAGAAGACAACCGGGGGCTTGGTCAGCTCCCGTCAGCCTTCGCCAGGGATGGCAGAGAACGTTCGCCGGAAGTGCCCAGGGCCGACGGTGGCTTCTGCCTGACCCTCAATCCCTAGGCTCCTAGGAGCTGTCCTGTCTTTGAGTACTCGGGGTGGGGCCAGATTTGGAAGCCAGTAATGCTCACTCAGCTCCCCAGGGGAGGAGGGCGCTGGGGGCCTGGACTCCTGGGTTCTTGAACGAGAGAGGAGTTTGTCGGAGGAGTAAGTCACCTGTGTAGTTGCTTAACTGCCAAGGATCCAAGAGAAAATAAAAATTTAAACAGAAAATGGTCCTGGTTGGTTGAGAATTTGGGGCCTAAAGGGGTGGCCATAAGAAAGTGTGAGTTGCATGTACATATTGTATAGAAAAAGACACACCATACAGGTGGAAATATAATTGCGTGGAATTTTACAAACATCGAGAAAGACATACAAGGACAAAGTCCAAATTGTGCAAGACTGATTTTCGCAGTAGAGCGGGTTGCAGGTGGGCAGGGAAGGTCATTAACTGTTTCTTTATAGACCTTTGCATGACTTGATTTGTTCGAAAGGGCACATACTGAAGCTGCCGTGATCTCTTACGCTGTGTGAAAAGCCAGTTTCCAAAGGTTACATATTGTGTTATTCCATTTATACGACTTTGTAGAAAGAGAGAACGAGAGTGCTGGTGGAGAGGTCAGCGGCGGTCAGGGGCTGGGGTGCCAAAGGAGCGGTCGCCTTCCTGGTGGCTGAACCGTCCTGCATCCTGACTGTGGGAACAGCCAGATGAGTCTGTAATCCCAGAGCTGCATACCCCCTGGAAATTAGGTTTTACTGTATGACAATTTAAAAAAAAGTTTAAAGCCACCAAAATGCTAAATAAAGTTTAAAATGAAGCAGAAATGTGTGCAAAGAAGCAGCTTTTGTTTTAGTTGGCATTCTCCCTTGGACGTGTTCCTGTTTTATCCATTTCTGCCCTTGTCTTTTTATTTCCTTGCTTCTACTTTCCCTAGACTTGATTGGTTGTTTTGTTTTTACATTTTTTTTTCTTTAAATCCTCACCCAAGGACATTTTTTCATTGCTGTTAGAGAGGAAAGGAGAGAAAAATACGTCAGTGCGAGAGAAAAGTATCAATTGGTTGCCTCCTGTATGCACCCAGACCAGGGATCGGACCCACAATGTAAGTATGGGCCCTGACCGGGAATCAAACCTGCAATCTTTCAGTTACAGGATGATGCTCCAACCAACTGTGCCACACCAGCCAGGGCTGTAGGTTTTTTTTTAACTGGAGGTTTCAACCATTCATTTCAGTCTTTCTTCTCTTTTTGGATAGTACGCATTTAAATCTACAAATTTTCCTCCAGTACTGCATTAGCTGCATCTCAAAAGTATTTGTATGTTGCATATTTGTTCAAAATATTTTCTAACTCTTTTCTTCTTTCGCCTGTGGGTTATTTACAAACTACCACTCAGGCCATGGTATAGACGAGTCTCACAGAAATAGTGTCGAATATAAGAAGCCAGGCTCTAAACGGTGCAGATGGTCGGGAAGCAGGAACGCGGGGCAGAACAGCTCCGTGACATTCGGGACAGGATAGGGCGACCCCTGGGGGCCGGCAGGAGAAGTCTTCCGGAGGGGCTAATGCTCTGTTTCTTGATCTGGGTGCTGGTTGCATAAGCAGGTTCAGTTTGTTAAAAAATTCATCAAGCTGTCCACTTTTGTGTTTTTTAGATTTCAGATAGATTTTCTACAACGCAGCAAATGATGGGGAAGGCCATAAGAAACTCCTCCTCGCCCCAAACGCCAAATTTCGACCACAGCGGACCGCTGGGATCCTGAGCCTGGGACCCTGCGTCGCAGGGGGAGGAAGCCACTCACCTCCCACGCCCGTCTTCTGCCGGGAGATGCAGGACTCGAAGCCCAGGCGGAAGCGGTTCTCCCCGCCCAGGCGGCCGTGGGTGCCGTCGTCCACCAAAAGGAAGGCCGAGTAGTTGTAATCGAGAGGAAACTGGACCCCGTCCTCAGGGTCGCCGCGCCACCGGTAACTCGCAGGGAACGAGCCCTGGGGGACAAGGGACCAGACCGGAGAGTCTTTCCTCCAGGGCTTGGAGTCCGGGCCCCCAGCCCCTCCTCCCTCGGACCCAGGAGCCCCGCCCCAGCCCCCCCTTTTCCAAGACCCTGGGTCCCACCTTGGGGTTGGTGAGGGCCTCTCTATTGCGAACCACACCCCAGGGGGCCACGCCCATGGCCACCACCTTGGTGGCCCCCGTACTGGCTGTCTGGTGGTCCCGTACAGCTACCCCAACATGCCGGCCGATGCCTGAGTGCAGTCCCCCGGTGACAATCCAGGCCCCTACACAGAGACACAGAAAGTAGTGGCAAGGTCCAGAAACACACCAGTGTGGAGAGAGAGAGAGGGAGAGAGAGAGACTAGAGAGAGACTAAAACCCACACACGGAGATGCAGGCGAGAGCACCCCAGAGAAGCGGGTGGGTGCGGGAGGCGAGCAGCCAGCCCCGCCCAGGAGGCCCCGCCCCCCACCACCCTGAGTCACCTGTGCTCTGGGCGGCCCGCACCAGCCCTCTTCGCAGCAGGTCCTGCAGCCAGGTCTGGAGGACAGGGCCCCCCGACCCCCCCAACACTGACACCACCAGGTTCGGGGCCTGGAAGCCCCATGTGCGCGTGACCAGACTATAAACTGTGGTTGGGTCCGTGCGGTCAGACAGCCGGAGGAACTGTGGACACAGGGGAGGGGAGGACACGGGGAGGGGACAGACAGCAGGAAGGGGACAGAGACCCAGGCAGAAAGGAACAGAGACACAAAGAGGGTGACAGAGACCAGGGGTAGGGACAGAGACCCAGAGAGAGGGGGACAGAGACCCAGAGAGAATGAAATAGAGAACCAGAGTTGGGGGAAGGGGACATAGACCCAGAGAGAGGGGGACAGAGGCTCAGAGAGGAGGAGGCAGAAATCCAGAGGTGCAGAGGGGGACAGAGACCCAGAGAGAGGGGGACAGAGGCCCAGAGAGAAGGAGACAGAGATCCAGAGGTGGGGAGGGGGACAGAAACCCAGAGAGGGGTGAAGAAAGGGACGGACAAACGGGAGACACCGTGTTCAGCCGGGGAGCCCCGGGCCCCAGCTCGGAGCCCCTGTGGCATGCAGCCCCGCTCGAGACCCTGGCCCTGCCCAGGCATGCAAGCCTCACATGGCTGGCCTTGCCGCCGGCACCCAGGAAGTCCAGCTCCCCGTAGGCATCAGTGGGCTTCTCCGTGGTATGCGAGTCACTGTTCCAACTGGTCACCATGGCTGCCCCGAAGGCATCCTCCACAGCCACCGATGGGTGGGCACTCCGGGGACACCCACACTGGCACAAGGTCCCTCTGAAGGGAGGGATAAGGGGCAGCATGAACGCCAGGGGTGTCCCCACAGCCCCAAGCATCCTGGAGAAGTGTCCATCCTCTTGCCTGCTGACCCTGGCCCTGCCCCTTCCTGGCTCCAGCCGGCCTGAGGGAGACGCTGGGGCAGGAGGAGACACAGCCCACCTGGCCCACAGTGGAAGCTGCAGTCAGGGCAGGGCCCCACCCTCCCTGGGCCTGAGGGGTCCCCACTGCCCCCAGTCTACACAGAGCATATTAATCACAAAAGGAAAATCCAGAGAGAGATTCTGAGAGCATGCACAGGCTGGAGGCTAAGGCAGCTAGCTGTGTGACTTTGGGCAAGTGGCTTCACCTCTCTGAGCTAAATGCCCTCCTCAAATACAAAGACAAACATCTCCGTGGGACTAAGAGGACCAATGACCTAATGCAACGTTCCCGGGAATGAGGGCTACATACCAGACCCCACATGAACTCCACACTGAGCTTAAACGACCTTGAATAACAAACAGAGTGAGATAATTGTTCCCTTCTCAGGCTTGATTACCGTCAAGGAGAGAAGCTCGGCTGGTGTGAGAATAGCCTGAATGTCCTAGCCTTTCCCATGCTTTCTTTTTAACACAGAAAAGCCGGCTTCAGACACAGAAAACTGGGCTGGCAACACCCACATCCAGTGAGAAGGGAAAATCTTTCTTTGCTTTTTACTGTAATTGTCTTTTAAGGCTTGCTTCTTTCCCTTTGCGGTAAGTGGACCACACGTGACACTTTCTTCCCTAAATAAACAAACAGGTAGCCCTTGATCAGCACCAGAGTTTTAAAGAGCATGGAACACGGGGGTGGGGAATGAGGGATTTAGTTGCAAATATCATCAAATCTCTGTGGTCCGGATTCCAGAAGGGACTCAGACCGAGGGGAGGCCTGCCTTTATACACAGAGTGAGCTGGGACTTAAGGACCAATTTTTTTTTAAGATTTTATTTATTTTTAGAGAGAAGAAGGGAGAAAGACAGGGAGAGAGAAACACTGATTGACTGCCTCTCACATGCCTCTAACTGGGAACCCGGCCCACAACCCAGGCATGTGCCCTGACCGGGAATCGAAGCTGCAACCCTTTGGTTTGCAGGCCAGTGCTCAATCCACTGAGCCACGCCAGCCAGGGCCTAAGGACCAATTTTATGGAAAGGATAGGATGGTGGTACATGGATTCGGTAAAAGCTGTGAAAACAAAACTTCAGTCAACAAAAGAATGGCCACCCTGGCTGGTGAGGCTCAGTGGGCCGGCCATCATCCCGCACAGCTAAAGGTCGCTAGTTCGATTCCCAGTCAGGACACATGCCTCGGTTGCAGCTGGTTCCCAGTTGGGGTGTGTGTGAGGCAGCCAATCTGTGTTTCTCTCCCTTCCTTTCTCCTTCCCTTCCCCCCTCTCTAAGAATAACTAAAATATTTGTTTAAAGAAAAGAACAAAAGAATGGCCACCTGACCCATACACACAGGATGAACAATACACACAGCTCAGCCCCTGACACAGAGAGGCCACAGGGAAGGACACACCTTCCTCCTATCTGAGTCTACCTCCAGGCTCCTGACATGCCTCAGTTTACCCACTTTATCCTTTCACCCATCTCAACCCCATTTCTGGGGTCCCTCATTCCTTTCCATCTACTTCCCGCTAGCCCTACCCTGCACAACTGATTCATGGGAAGTTCCAGAACCTGAGCTGTCAGATACACTCACCCCTAGCCACATGGGGCTCTTTGTAGTCAAATAAATTAAAATTAAACACAATTAAAAATTAAGTTCATCGGCCGCTCTGGTGAGGGCCGGGTGGGGCCAGTGGGGCCTTACCGGATGTGGACGCAGAACGTTTCCACCTCCGCAGAAAGCTCTGGTGGACAGGCCAGCCAACTCCCCGTGCACTTCTCACCTCCCACCCTCCTCCTACCTCGCAGTGCTGCCACCGAAACTGACATTGTTCCCGATAAGATCAGCGATTACCTGCAAGTGCCCAAATACAATGGTCTCTATTCAGGTCTCAGGTGACTATTACCAAGTGGCACTGGACACAGCTGAAAGGCTCTGGTTCTAGAATCCCCCCGTTTTTTTTAAAGATTGTTTACGCTACTTCTTTTTATGATTTTATTTATTTATTTTTAGAGAGCGGGAAAGGAGAAAGAAAGGGAGAGAGAGAAACATCCATGTGCAAGAGATACATCGATCAGCTGCCTTTCACAGGCTGCAAAGTGGGAACCTGGCCTGCCACCCAGGCATGTGCCATGACTGGGAATCGAACTCACAGCCCTTCAGTTCGGAGGCCAGCACTCAGTCCACAAGTCACCAGCCAGGGCTAGAAAATCTTTTTCTTGGCAGAGAGCATCTGCCCCCCTAAGCGGCTCTGTCCCTCCCTCCTTTGTGGCTTTCTCTCCTTGGTGCCTCACCTGAGTGCAGGCGTCCCCAGACCCAGGACCACAGGGCTTCCCTACCCGGGTCTCAAACTCGGCACCCCGAGGGCACCAGGCAAGTTAAAGGGAAGAAGCATCAGGTGGAAAGTAAGTGGCTGTACCAGAGGCCACGGTGACTTTAAGCATGCTGGTTTATCTTGGGTCATTCGGAGACAGTCTTTTCAAGCTGCACTTCCATAAAACTAAATTAGTCATAGAATTAATTTCAAGTTTGCAGCCTCCTTGACTTTACATGTTCCCCACTTACCATCTCACCTACTTCCGGTTTCCATGACCACTGACACCTAGGCCCCATCCCAGGCCTCGCTCTGGCTCTCAGATCCAGGTCTGCAATGCCCCAGGGTCCCCTTGGCGCCCCCCCCCCCCCCAATTCACTAGATCTCACGCAGAGCTCCGAAAATTTTTCCGAACCTGCCCATCCTCCTGGGTCCCTCATCGTGGCAACAAGCCCACTGTTTCCCAGTCCCCAGATCAAATGTCCAGGAGCCGCTCCCCTGACTCCCCAAATCTATCTCATCCGCTCCTGTCTGTGTCCCGAGACCCTGGCCTGGCTCAGGCCTCTGTCCCTCCCACCTGGACCCTCGACCTGAGGCAGGAGCCAGCACAGGAAGAACTCTGAGACTGCAATACTGTTATGGGCCAGCATCTAGCACCCTGGTTGCCAGGAAATGCCTTTTACCAATTAGGTGGAATAAATAGTAAACCGAGGCAGGGAAGAGGAAGGAGACATGTCTCACACGCTAACTCAGCAGTCCTGAGCCTAGTCTGATAATATTGCCAGGTGTTCCAACATCACAAGAGACACTATATTAGCAAGAAAGGAGGGAAGTCCTTGAAATTCTAAGTAGCATTTCCACTATCTGGGAAAGAAAGCCTTGAAACTGTGCTTCCATCCCAAGGCCTGAATTCGGGAGAGGGTCCCCGGTACCCAAAGAAAGAGCCCATAAAACAGCTTTGGTTAATTGCCTACCTCTGGTCACTATCTATTTTACAAGGGAATCCCTGATGCTTACAGAGAGAGCCCATAAATAACTTTGAAAAGTGCCCCAATTTTAATTAACTGCCTCCTGTCATGTATTTATTTTACAACAAGATGAACAAATGGGGCCTGGAGCAAGATAAGGATTTGGGTAACAGACCCCCGCACATACCTGAGTTTGGGTAGTCACATTCCCCCAGCAAAGCTGGCTCTACATTTACTGGCTACCTGGCCTCAGGCTGCCCGGGGGCTTGCCACCCTGATCTTCAGCTGCTCTTACTTTTGTCACCCTGCTTTGCCCTGAAACTTTGTCTTTTACTCACTACTCTACCCAGTCACTAATAAACTGATTATATGCTACTAGATTTGCTGATATATAATTCTTTACATACGTCAGCCAGAAGAATCAGGTCTCTCCCATCAACAAAGCAACCTCCTCCCTGGCTTCCCAAACTCCTAGGCACCCTCACACGGCCCCCAGAGCATCTTTCCACACTCATAGCTGAACCTGCCCCTCCTGTGGGTCCCCAGCAGCCTAGAACAAGGTCCCAGTCCCTCAGATGGCATCTGAGGCCCCGGGAGTTCCGGCCCAGCCAACCTCTTGGGCCTCCCCCCGGCCCCAACAACGCTCTCGCGCCCAGTCTTTCGCTCCATCCTCAGGCCCCCTCGCATGGTCCGCATGGGCAATTTGCTCATGCTGTTCCCACCCCTGGAATCACCTTCTGGGTTCCTGTCCCCAGCCCCCCTTCAACTGTCAAACTCCACTCATCCCTCCAATGTCACCTCACGGCCCCCCCTCCAGAAGACATTAGTGACATCCTGTCTCCTGCCCAGCCTCGGCCAGATGCCTCCTCTGGGCTCCCATGGGGCCCAGGGGCACGACCTTTGCGGCTCTGTTCTCCTGGCCTTATGGCTGCTCTCTCCCACTAGACCCAAGGTTCCTAAATTTTGGACCATGCTCTCGTGTCCACCAGTAAATTTGGAGCACTGGCCCCCATAAACTTGTATCTGTTCATTTGTACATGACCGCAAGCCAGACTACATTGGTATAGTATTTTCGCGACAAAACACACATGAAATTAGCATTGTTGACATTTACTACGCCCCGAAGATCGTCTGGAGAATAACTAGAAAGCCAGAACCCGCTTGAGCGCCCATCGCTGAAAGCCAGGAGCCGCTCACCAGTCCACACAGCCGGTCTGGCTCACGTGGTGTCCCGCCACCCAGCACGAGCTCGAGCTCGGGACCTGCACGGGCAGGGCTTGCTGCCTTCCCATGGGAATTAAGGACATTGCTCAGCGCTTACCAGGCGCCGGGCACTGCTCCAGACACCGCACAAGCGTTCAGTTCTCACGATAACCCCAGCAGGTAGGGTCTGCTTTTCTGCCCAGAAGACAGATGAGGCCCACAGAGGGGCAATGATTTGCACAAAGCCACACAGCACGTGTCCTCAGGTAAAATTTAAACACTGGCACGGCCTGTGCTCCTGAAAAGTATGCTGCCGTGGGAGCGCTGAGGGACGCTTTCTGGGATGGATAGCTGAATGGATGGATGGATAAAACAGAGACAGCCAAAAAAGGAAAAACGGAAAGTGATAGAAGGAGACAGAGACAAGGGGAAGGAAAGAGACGGAAGCGAGTCCTGGCGCTTTAACGTTGACCCTGAGCTGGAGCTTGGGAAATTGGAAGTGTCCGGGGAGACCCAAACCCTCCCCCAGGGGCAGCGCAATTCAGGGAACGCCCTTGGACGTACCCCCGGGTCAGGGATGGGGGCGGGGCAAAGGGTGGGGTCTGCGGTGGGCGGGGTCAGCGGTCTGGGAAAGCCTCGGGTGCCGCCCGCGGGCCGGGCAGGTCCCCAGCGCGAACTCCTCACCCTGGATCTCCGGTGTCAACGATGAATGTCGTGCATGTCTTCTTCTTAAAGATCTTGGGGATCCAACTCTGCGAACAGGAACAAGGGGTGGGGATGGGATTCTTCTAGTTCAGTCCCAGGAGACACAGAGTCCCTCACCCCGTGCCCTACCCCAGGACCCAGATTCAGAGACCCCAACGCCCTCCACCCCTGGACTCAGGAGTCTCGGCCCCCCTCCCACAGCCCCCCTCCCGGCCATGCCCCAGCACCCAGGAGTCCGGGCCGTTTCAAACCCCTTCTTCGTCTGCCGCCAGAATCTGGGCCTCCAGCACCCTCCTCCCTGAGAACCGGGAGACCAAGCGCCCAGCTCCCCGTTCCCTCAGACCCGAGGGTCCGGCCACTGTACCTGTTCCTTCGGGCCCACCATCCTGCCACAGCCGCCGCAACCTATCCTGCTCCCCACATTCCCTCCACCAGCCCCGATTTCAGATCCGCCCTGAACAAACCGGATCTGCCACTTCCCATCCCATCCTGAGGCGGGCCAAGGTCGGGGAGGCGGGGCGTCTCCGAGACGCGTAGAGCTAGAGGCGGGGCAAAGGGAGGGCCAGGACTGCCCGTCAGAGACCCGGAGAGAGGGACGGCCACGCAGAGACCCGCAGAGAGAGACGGCACAGAGACCCAGAGAGAGGGAGAAAGAGACTCAGAGGGGACGGAGACCCGGAGAAAGGGGGAAGGAGATTCAGAGAGAGGGACAGAGACTCCGAGACCCACAGAGAGGTGACAGAGACTCAGAGATGGGGGACAGAGACCCAGAGAGGAAATGCCAGAGACAGGGAAGGGGCGTGTTGACCTAGAGGGGGAGACAAAGACTTGGGGGGGGGGGGCAGACACTCAGCGTGAGAGGGAAAGACAAGCCAAAGAGTGAGGGGAGGCAGAACCCTGAGGAGGGAGGACAGGGACCCCGAGGGGGCGAGTGACAGAAGCTGTGAGAGAGAGGAAGACCCGAGACAGTGCTGGGACCCAAAGAGCTGAAGTGACAGGACAAAGTGGGAGGTACTGACACACAGGCAGGCAGGGCCATGCGTCTCCTGCCAGTTCTCTCTGACAGGGACAGCTGCAGCCCGCTGGGTAACCTGAGCGCCCCGCTGTATTTATAGCCCTGGCCTGGCCGGGCCCCTGCCCCCAGATCTGAGTTCCAGGTGCCAGAGGTCACGGGTGTGTATGCTGGGGGCAGGTATCCTTTGCCCCTCTCCCAGGCCTCCAGGTTGGCATCTACTCTCGCAGCAAAGTATCTTCTTCGGGCCAGAACCACCGCCCCCATCCCCCGAGTCTAACCCTGGATCCTTCCGAGGCAGTGGTCACACCCCTCAGGGTCACCTCTCCTAACTCCCCGGCTGCCCCAGGCCCCTGCAACTTGGCCCATGACGAGTCTAGCTGGTGCAAGTCTGCACCGTGACAAGTGCAGCTGTCAAACATGAACTTGTTGGTAGTCCAAAGTCCAGTCCTGGCACCCAGGAGACTGGCCAAGGAGAGACCCTTTCACCCACCCCTTACCAACTGGGAGGAGGAGGAGGAGCAGGAGGGGAAGGGCAGGAGGGACTGACCCAGAATAACTCAGGGCTGAGAGTAAATTTAGCCACAGAGAGAGGAGGGGAGACACCCTATTGGCTAGGCAGTGGGAGGGAGGGCCCAAGAGGGGGGTCAGGGGGCTCCTGAGACTGCCTCACAGGGGTGTCCAGAGCCAGCAGCAAGGGCCAGAGGAAGGCAGACAGGCAAACACAGAGAGAGAGACCCAGCAAAGGAAAGACACCGAGAGAAAGAGACAGACCCCAAAAGAGACAAGGACCCCCAACATTCATCCACAGAGCCACAAGTGGAGGCCAGAGCCAGCCTGGGAGGAGGCCTGCCGCCTGTCCGTCCCCATGGGCCACCGTGGGCCATGGCCGCACACCTCTCTGCTCTGGGCTGCCGTGGCCAGCCTGCTCCTCCCCCCGGCTGTGACCCAGCAGCTGAGAGGGGCTGGGCCGGGGCCCAGCCACTGGAACAACAATGCAGGCGTCTCAGGGCCCTCAGAGGACGGGTCAGGTGAGTTCGGGCACCCCACCCACAGCCATGGAAGCTACAGGGATGAGAACGACGCTGTGTTCACAGGGAGCGGGCATCGACTCTGGAGTCACAGACCCCGCGGGGAAGAGGATGAAGATCTCTCCAGGGAATACGGTCACCGACTCCAAGGCCACAGGCTCCAGAGCCATGAAGCCGGAGACGAGAACCTCTCCAAGGAGGAAGTCTTCCCGGGGCATGCTCAGCGGGCGCTCGAGCACGGAGGCCTCGGGGATGAAGATGGAGATGATTCGGCAGAGGGTGGGCACCGCTTCCCCAGCCACGGGAGCCTCGGCCATCCGGACGAGGATGAGGACGAGGATGAGGACGAGGTTGTGTCCAGTGAGTATCCACAGCGTGTTATCAGGCATGTGCACCGGGGCCACGGAGACGATGATGAAGAAGAAGGTGAGGAGGATGTTTCTACTGAGTATGGACACCAGGCCCACAGGCACCGAGGTCACAGAGAAGAAGAAGAAGATGATGATGATGATGATGACGGAGCCTCCTTTGAGTACAGGCAGCAGGCCCACACGCATCAAGGCCACGGGAAGGAAGAGGATGAGCATCAGCATCACGCCCCCGGCCATGGGCACCAAGGCCATGAAAAAGAAGAAGATGACGATGATGGTGAGGATGACGATGTCTCCACTGAGTACGGACACCAGGCCTATGGGCACCGGGACTATGGCAAGGAAGAGGATGAAGGTGTCTCAGATGAAGATCACTATCCTGTCCCTGGCTACGGACACAAAGAAGAAGATGATGATGACGATGATGATGATGTCTCCACTGAGTATGGACACCTGGCACCCAGGCACGGAGCTCACAGGGAGGAAGAGGATGACGTCTCCGATGAAGGCCGCCATCACCAGCCCAGCCACGGACACCGAGGCCATGAAGACCAGGAAGGTGAGGAAGAGGATGAGGTTGTGTCCACGGAACACTGGCGCCAGGTTCCCAGACACACTCACCACAGCCTTGAAGATGAGGAGGAGGGGATCATGGTCAAGTTCAGCCACCACGTTGCAAGCCACCAGCCAGAAAGCCACAAGAGCGCTGAGGAGGGGTACTTCCCAGATGAGTATAAAACAGAAGTCTCTGGCCATCACCGCCACGAAGTTCCCAAGGAGGAAGATGAGGACAGCTCTGCCAAGCTTGGCCACCAAGTTCCCAGCCATAGACCACAGGGCCACCAGGATGAAGGGAATGGCCAGAGAGTGTCCAGCGAAGAGATGAGCCACCAACTCCCAGAATCCACAGGAGTCAAGGATAGAAGCCATTTTGGGAACAGAGACTCTGAAGAAGAAGAGAAGGAAGAAGACCATGGCTCCCATGAGGAAGAGGATGAAGGTTCAGAGCAGGGAGAAGAAGGCACCCACCATGGCCGCCTGGGCCAGGAGGATGAGGAAGACGAGGAGGAAGGTCATGGCCTCCGGCTGAGCCAGGAGGATGAGGAAGAAGAGGATGAGAGGAGAGAAGAGAGGGCTGATGTTCGCGCCCCACTGAGCCAAGCCCACCGGGAGGAGGAAGATGAAGAGGAGGAGGCGGGGCTGGATGAAGACCAGATCCCCTTCACCATCATCCCTCACCCCCTGGCTAGGAGGGAGGCGGCTGGAGGCGGCTCCAGTGAGGAGGAGAGTGGCGAAGACACCAGTAAGTGCTCTGGCCTGGTGGGAGCGGGGAGGAGCCGAGGACGTCTGAGTCACTGTCGCCCTCCTCTCCCCACAGGTCCACAGGATGCCCAAGAGTACGGGAACTACCAGCCAGGGTCCCTGTGTGGCTACTGCTCCTTCTGCAATGTATGTCCCTAGCTCAGGGTCACCCACCAAGAGGTCCCTGGAATTTGTCCCAGGGCCCTGGGCTGCCTTGCAAGGGCTCTGAGCAAAGGAAGGGCAGGGGCAGTTCCAGGTGAAGAGGGACACTTCTGGGGCCATGTGGGGGACAGACTGGAGGCCAGGAGGCAATGGTGGAGGCTGGGGCGACCGTGGGGAAGGGGAGGGGGAGGCCGAGGCCTGAGCCGCCCCTACGGAGGTGGGGAGAGAGGAAGGCCCTTGACCCAGAGTCTCCGGAGGGGGAGACCCTGGGACTGGAGACTGACGGGCGGCGGGAAAATAGAGAAGTGGGTGAAGACAGCATCCTCAGGCCCCGCCCACGGTGATGGGGGAACGTGGAGTGTGCCCCGCCCCAGGAAATCCAGCAGGGAGAAGTGGGTTTTGGGGAGGGCGCCAAGCTCGGTGTTGGCAGTAATGTGGGTGAGGGGGGTGGCAGGGTGGAAGATGGGCGGCTAGCTCCGGGAGGGGTTAGGATTTCCGTTAACCAGGCGGCTCCGGTCCGCAGCGGTGCACTGAATGTGAGAACTGTCACTGTGATGAGGAGCACATGGGAGAGCACTGCGACCAGTGCCAGGTGAGATATGCCTGGACTCAGGGAGGCCCGGGACCACATGCACACCCCCAGCCCCAAAACCTGGCCTCTGATCAAGCCACTTACCCCGATGCAGCTTGGACCCCACACTCGATCCTGCCTCTGACCTTAACTTCCACCTAGCTAGCCTCCTCCTGCCCGCGCCCCCGTCCTGACTCTGCCCTTGACCACGCCCGGCCACTCACTCTTTCTCCCCACCCTCATCCCCAGCACTGCCAGTTCTGCTACCTCTGCCCCCTGGTCTGCGAAACTGTCTGCACTCCAGGTGAGCGTGGTGGGCGGGCTCAAGGGAAACCTGAGAAAGGGCCGGGGCCCAGCGAGGTGCTATCCGGTGGGGGCGGAGTCAAACCTGAGGGGCGGGGCGGGGAGGTTGTGGGGCGAGGCCAGGTGTGGAAACTTTGGCCCGGACTGAGAGTCTATGGGCGGGGCGGGGCGAGCGCGGAGGGGCGGGGCCTGGGCAAAGAGGAGGTGGGGCGTAGATGCTGAAAACTTAGAACGAAGAACGGGCGCAGGGTTGAGGGGTGGGGCTAGAACTGAGTGGGCGGGGCCAACGCAAGAAGAATTTGAAGGACCGGGTCTAGCGGAGAAGAATGGGGACACCCAGAGCAAGGAGGGACGAGCGAGACCTTCAAAGGAGTCCCAGTGGAAGGAATTCGGTTTGGGGAAGAAATTCAGGAAAGAGGGCAGAGTTAGCTTTGATCTGGGACGCAACGAAAAGTGAGGCTCCTCAAGCCTGTTCTCTCTTCTCTCCCACAGGAAGCTACGTCGACTATTTCTCCTCGTCCCTCTACCAGTAAGTGCGTGGAAGGGGGAGTTTAAGGCCCCTGTTTAGAGAGGAGCTGTCTCGCTGAGTGAGTGGACGCCCCTGGGCCTCCATTTCCCCGTCGGCAAAATGGGAAGGTTAACGATCTCTCAGCGCCCTGAGCACAGCTTTGGACACTTCGGTTATCTAACCTCTGCGTCCTCCTCTCCAGGGCCCTGGCGGACATGCTGGAAACTCCGGAGCCCTGACCCGGGCGCGCAGCCGCGGCGCAGACGTGTACCTCCCTGGCCCTCCAGCACCCTTCCACAAGCCCTATTTATTTCTCTGAATAAACGTGCTCCCCGAAACCTCGCTGTCAGGCGTGGAGTCTGGCATCTCGGGGCATCAGGGGACGCGGTGGTGACAGGGGGATTGGGCTCGGGCTCATGGGTCTGAGGGAGGAGGGCCAGGACTTCCGGGTCCTCCAGGTGGTTGGTTGGTTTATTTAAGTTGCTCATAAATAAATCAGTCAACACGGGAGTTTTTTGAAACAGTTCTCTTTACCCGTGATCACTGAGTGATGCCTGCGGCTGGGAGGCCGACCTGGGGCAGGGCTCGCCCGCCCTCCCTCCCCCCACGCCACATCGCCCAGTGGCCTCGTGGAAAGAGGATTCTCCCATGCAAACCCCGGAGCCGGAGGGGAACGAGGAGCGCAGTTCTGCGCCCCCTACCCCTGGGGCACGGACACGGCCACAGCACGGGGGGCGGAGGGGCCCCGGGGACACGAGACACTGAGGATAGGGTCCCGTCCGCAGCCAACCCCAGGCAACGGGCGACCAGAGGGGGCGGGGCGGGACTGAGTGGCACAGGGGGCGAGGCTTGTAGCAGCGAGTCCCCCCTCCCCTCCTTTCGGACGAAGAAGGAAGACTTGGGCCCCGCGACTGGGGAGAAAGGGGAGGGGGCAGCCTCTCCCCGCATGCGGCCCAGGAGGGAAGCCCCGCCCCCTTCCCGCGGGTAATGGGCACCCATCTCCCCTGGGAAACTGACCAATAAATTACAAAGTAGAGAAAAGGGAGGTGGAAGTTTGGGCGCGGGATTGCTTCCGGCCCTCTTCTTTTCCCCTCTCGGTCCAGTTCATGTGGTTTGGTCCAGGCCCAGTCCATTTGTGAGGCAGGGGCGCACGCTCCCCTCTAGTCTGTACGGATGGTCCAGACAGCGGCGGGAGCTCCCTGGCCCGCGCTCCCGGCGAGACCACACTCTGGGCAGGAGGGGAAACAGCCCAGCCTTTGGAAGATTCTTCCATTCGAGTGAGGTCACCTGCATGGACGCCGGGCAGCATGTGGAGCAGTGCAGATCCATTGTGCCGACCCGAACCCCCAAGATCGCCCAGTACAGTCCTCACCTGGAGGCCTGCACTAGCAGGAATAGGTCCGGACCGAAACGCCATCTGCCCGGGAATTTCCAGAAGTCTGGCCTGCAGGGAGAGCGAGCAGCTGTTCAGCCAGGATGAGCAGCGGTTCAGCGCATGCGCGCGCGCGCCCACCCCCACATTCCCACCCCCCACCCAGGGTTTCTCCGACTCTCAACCCCAAACATCCTTCCTTGGAATTCCCCTTCCGAAATGACAGTAACGGCTGAATGTTCGCTGCCTTCCCTCCCTTTCCCACAGCATTGGATTCATCCAAGGTGCCCCAGATGACACGAGGCGAGTCCATTTCCCACCGTAGAAAGGGGATGCGAGATTAATTCATTCCACACGCGGAGCAGAGGGTTGGCATATTGGAGCAACCCATTTGCCATGAATGGGGGAGAATGAGCGAGGACATTTCAGAACGTGGAGAGGGAGGCTTCTGGAAAGTTGGGTTGGTCCTTCGTCCACCTCAAAGAAGGGGAAGGGAGGAAGGGCTGACGTTTGGGGGAGCCACCCACCCACCTTCTGATTGCAGCTTGCGAAGAGGGAGTCCCGGCGAGCCCAGGGCCCCTGCTGCGGCCGAACGAAAGTTAGGGGGCAGCATCTCAGCTGAGTCGGGGGTTACGCCTCGGAGGTCCTTCTCTCTGAACATCTTCCGCCAGGACGGGGAGCGGCTGAAGGACTTGGCGCTGTCCTAGGTACATGGCCCGAGCATCCAGTGAGGGACTAGAGTACGCTTCTGACCCCGCCCCTTCTTTGACCCCACCCCTCTTGGGATCCCGGAGCTTCTTCAACCTGGCCCCGCCTCCAACCACGACTCTTGGCAAAGGCAAGCCCGACCCCTTCAGCTCCAACCCTGAAGGTGCGGCTCAGAAGCCGAGCCTCCTGTACCACTGCTGCGCCCACCTCGTCCAGCCGCCTGTCTGTGCCCAAGGAGATGAGGTTACTGAATTCCTTTTCCAGGAGCTGCCGTGCCTGGGGAGGAGAGGTGGGAGAGGGGGTTGCCGGGTGCAGACTGCGAGGTGGGGATGCCCAGTATGACCCGGGCCAAGCGGCAGCTCACCTGTGCATTCTGCGTGGGGATCTGCAGGAGCAAGGCTAGGTCGGAGTAGTCAAAGGTCTCGTCCAGGGCCAGCAGTGCCCCGTGCACCCCGCTCTCCGTGAGGTTCGTGGCAAATTCCTTCAGTCCCAGTCCGGACACCCAACCCATGACCCGCTCATTGGACCACACCATCACGTCTGGGGACCAAAGGGACCCTCAGCTGCAGGCCCGTCCGATTTAGCCCATACTTGCACCCCCATTTTCTCTTTTCTGGCCACGCCCCCTATACTGGCTCCACCCCAGGGTTTATGATAGGGCTCTTCTTCCCTGGCCTCCCTCCCCTCCTCCAGTCACCCTTTCTCCAGTCCTGCCCCTAAAGCCTCTCCACCTGGCTCCCAGAGGGACGTTTATACTTTCCTACTCACCTCGGATCTGGGTCTGACTTTCTTCCCGCCTCCTCTCCAAGTCTTTCCGGTCATAGTTGAGCCGTTTCAGGCACATGATCCCATAATGCAGACTCACCCTGAGCAGCAGGGGAAGTCGAGTCACAAATGGGCCTTCACAGCCCCCATGACTGTGGCTCCTACTGGGCCCTCCCCACTGACTGTGGTCTTCTGGGAGGGGTCAGAGAGTGTTCCATCGGTCAGTTCTAGCGATTGCTGCCCTTCTCAGAGTGGGGGTACTTTCAGCCGGCAGTCCCTACTGGCTAACCTGGAGGGGGTGTGGCATCAACTACCCAAGCTGTCTCAGAATTGGGACTCTTCCTAGTGGGCCATCTTATCCCTGAAAGGGGTGCAGGAGTCAATTTCCTGAGAATCTAGGCTAAAGTGCCAACAATAATCCAATACACTTCCCATCACCAGTCCCATCGGCCAAAGAGTCTCTAGGAGTGGGAGCTTCCCCCTGGACCGTCCCCATGGGCCAGGCAGCTCCCACCTGTGGAAGCTGTCCACCATCTTGAGTTGGCCTCGGAGCTCCTTCTTGTTCAGATGATCTAACATCCGGGCATCCACCAGCGACTCCATGAAGTAGCTGCGGTACTGGGGCAGCCCCAGGCTGGGCAGCCAGTCGTTCCCCACCCACTCGTGGTTCATGTCGCCGTATGCCAGGATCTGGGGCCATGGGCAGGTGGGGGGGGCGGTCAGGCCCTCTGACCCCTTCCCATGTATGTATGAAAGGGCACAGTCTAACCCCCCAACCCAAGGATGTTCTTTGTGCACCCCATAGCAGGACAGTGGCCAATGTCTCTGCTCAGGAGAGTGGATGGACCCAAAGCTGTCTCCTACTCCTTCACAATGACAGAAGACCCCCTCTACTCCAAGTGTGGTCCTTGGACCCACAACATCACCATCACCTGTGAATTTGCTGGAATTGCAGAACCTCAGAGCCCAGGCTACTGAGTGAGAATCTGTATTCTCACAAGATCCTCAGGTGATGTGGACAGCACATGAGAGTGTGAGAAGCACTGGTCTAGCATTGTCCCAACTCAGAACAACGCACCAGTCCACCATCTCTACCCCTCCACGTGAGACAATGGATCCTTCCACCGCGGCTCTCCCCACAGCAGAGAGGAATGGATCCACCCATCACTCCTGCGCTGTCCGGAAAATACTAGTTCAATGCTGTACTTGGCCCAGGACGGTATGCTGGGTCAGCCCAAAGCCCTTCACTGACTTTAACATAAGGAAACAACCCATGCCTCCCCCTGACTGGAAACAAAAAGCCCAGTCCAACACAGTTCTTCCATCTCAGCTGAGTTCCTGCCTCCCCCTTCTCCAGAAGAACTCCTCCTCCTCAGCCTCTCGGCCTGATGGGCTGCCCCTTCAAACGCTCTCCCCTCAACCAGCGGCCAACCCAGTGCACAGCACCTCCCTCTAGTCATAGCAATAGGACAACCTCTGGAGCCCCCGCAACCCACGATAATGGAATGGCGCGTGCACCACAGCTAACAACGGAACCACCTGGCTTCTACCAGACCCCCACCAAGCCACAGTGAGAGCCAAGCTCCGCGCAGCGCCTCCCCGCGGTGATGAAGGAATGCTCCGGAGAGGGTAGGGGCGGGGCTCGGAGAAGAAAGGGTGTCCATGCAGCGTGCACAGTCTGTTCATGCGCCCCCGTCCCGCCCCGCGCCCCCTACCTGCTCCCAGCTGATCTCCTTGGTCTCCTGACCCGTTAGTGGGAAGAGGGGAGAGAAGGGATGGGTTAAGGGGCAGGTGAAGGAAGGCAGGAGGAACGGACAAACTGGACAGCCACAGACTCGCCCCCGCCACCCCTCCCCAGGGAGAGTTAGTGCCATTCCCAAGGCCGCCGGCAGGGGGCACTCACAGGCTTGGTCGTGGCCGTAAGGGACTCCATCTCTTCGTGTGTCATCCACACATTTCCTGTGGACTGAGGGGTGGCGGGTGTTATGGAGGGTGAGAGAGGGCTTCCAGATACGGAAAGGGAGGGGGTTGTGCTCCTGCAGGCTCAGGTGGGGTACATTTACACCCACTCTACTTTCTGGCCTCAAAGGTCAGTCACTGCTTGGGCAAGACAGTAACAGAAAAAAAAGGAATGATGGTTCATTTATTAAGCACCTGCTTGTACCAGAACTTGGGCTTTGAGGTTGCGCAAACCCAGGTTTCAATTGGGGACCTGCTGGACATTTTGCCATGTGGCCCAGTGCGAGCGATGTCACCTCTCTGACTTCACACAAATTATAGAAAGGATTCAGAGTGAGGTGACAGACACAGCAAAGGGGCAAAGGTTTAGGGGAAGAAGGAGTGCATTCACATTTACTGAACACGTGCTCCCAACATTCCCAGACTCACACATGGGGGCAAACATTTATGTAGCGCTCTCTGAGTGCCAGACACAGTGGTAGGGTCTGGGACAGGCAAGGGGAAATTTGAATACGGACTCAAGGGCAGAGGGAATGAACGATAACATTAACGTCCTTAGGTATGATAAGCGCCTGGTGGCTTTGTATGGAAAAGTTCTTCTTTTTAGAAGATGCCCCCAAAGTAAGTTTTCGGGCTAATTTATGCTGTCCACAAATTGCATTCAAGTGCCCGGATACAACATGCACGTGTAAACAGCAAGAGTCGCAAAGGGTCAACAATGGCTGGGTTAAGGTAGCACACACACAATTTTCTGTATGCAAGGAAAGGATAAAATATTAGAAGGCAGTAAATGCTATGGGGGAGAAATTAGGTATTAATATCCGAGTGATGAGAGAATGAGCAATTTAGCTGTTGAGTTAGGGAGGCCTCTTGGAGGTGGTGACATTTCAGCTGAGACCTCAAGGCTGAGAAAGAAGCCAGCCCCGAGGAAATGGGGAGGGGTGCTCCAGGCAAAAAGAGCAGTGGATGCCGAGGGGCGAAGTCAGGAAAGGAGGGGTGCAGGGAACCGTATGGATTTGGCTTTTTCTCCAGGTTGCGGTGTTTGAGACAGACTGAGAGTTAGGGGTGCAGGAGAAGCAGGGAGATCTGAGGGAAGCCCCCCCGACTCCCAGAGATAATCCAGTTGGCAGGTAGGGAGTAAATCTACGGGATGCAGCAGGAGTAAACAGGTCCGGATTGGCTAGTCTGAGGATAAGAGGCGGGGACAAGAGGCAGCAAGGGCTAGGATTGGCTGCTGGACCCTCACCGTGCGGGAGGAGGCGGGAGCGGAGGGCGAGGTGAGCGAGACCATCTCCTGGATGGCGAGGCGTAGCTTGAGCCGGTGCAGCGGGTTGCTGATGCCGATCTCGCGCTGGATTTCCGTGTCCGACAAGTTGGCCATGATGGCACCACTCTTGACATTGGCCCGGCAGGCGGCCACATACCACGCCGGCATGCCCACCCACAGCTGGACCAGCGAATGGAGCGGGGAGAAGGAGAGACAGAGACAATGTAAGAGGAGAAACGGGAGAGAGACAGAAAGAAGGTGAGAGACGGAGACAGAGAGATAGGGAAAGGCAAGTGGAGGAGAAACAGAAAGACACAGAGTTGGCGGTGGGAAGGAACAGACGGACCAAGTCAAAGAGAGGTGAGAGTCAGAGGGAGACAGGGGGACGGAGGAGAGTCATAGGTAATGCAGAGTCAAAAGGGACAGAGAGGGGTGGGAAGAGATAGAGATCAGGGGAGACACAGAGATGAGAGACAGACATGGGGAGAGCAAGGAGCAAAGACATTGGAAGAGAGACATGGGAAGACCCAGAGACGTGGTAAGAAATATGGGTAATGGCAAAAACACAGAGATGAGAAGAGGCAGAAAAATAGCCAGGGAATCCCAGAGAGAGAGAGAGAGAGTGGGAGATGTAGGGAGAGACAGAGAGAAGCAACAGGAGACCTGGGCCGAGTTGGGCATGGCCAGAGGGGCAGGGTCGGGGGAGAAGAAGAAAGAACAGCAGAGAGATGGACAGGAAGCCTGACACCTCCCAGGGCCTCACCCCGCCCCCGACCACCCCATCTGGGCAAGGTGGATGGTGCTGGGTGGCCGCAGCCCGCCCTAATAGTGGGGCTGTCACAGGGGTTGGAGATCAAGAATCAGGGCATTTCTGGGCCCCAGTACCTCCAGCCAGGAGACCACGGTGGGGCCATCCCAAGCGGCAAAGGGCAGGCCCTGGCGGCAGGCCTCTTCCAGAAGTTCATGCCTGGGGAGAGGGGGCTGGGGCTGGAGCTCTCGGGGGTGGAGACCCCCGGCCCTGCTGGGCGGCCCCCTTCACCACACCCCCCTCCAAGAACACTCTTATGGGTGTAGAAAACATGCCACTGGAATCTTTGCAAGCCCTCTCCGCTCTCCCCACTCCCACACTCACTTCCTCTTGTTCCTTCGGTCCTTGTCTCCTGGACCTGTGAGCTTGGCTAGCCCCAGAGGGTCGGTGGCCAATGTCTCATCTGAGGGTGTTCCAGCTGGAGGCAGGGAGGACCAACATGTGGAGATTCTCAAGGGGGAAGCAGAACCTTTCATGCTGGGGGTGGTGAGGAGGATGCCAGGAAGGCAGAGGCCCCAAGCGAGTAGTGAATGAAGCCACAGAAAGGGAGTGATAAAGCCAGGCAGGGACCATTGCCACCTGCCAGGCAATAAACTGGAGACACCCCCCAAATAGGGGATTGATTGGTCTGGCCTTGTCCAGGCGGCAGTGGTGTGCTGGGAAATGTCTAATAGCTCCCTGAGGAGAAAAGGGATATTCTTTGATTTGGAGTGTTTGCCAATTTCCATGGTGTAAATAATCCCACTAAGCCAATTTCAAGCTACCAGTATGATGTCAAGCAGCTCACAAAATTCCTGAAAATTTAACTCTTGGCTCTTACAAGCCAGTACAAGCGGGCTCCAGCACACTAGGAGCCCTGCCTTTAGGATGCTCCTTCCTCTTTCTCTATTTAAAAAATGGTAAATGAGCCCTGGCTGGTGTGGCTCAGTGGATTGAGTGCCGGCTTGCAAACCAGGGGGTCACCGGTTCGATTCCCGGTCAAGGTACATGCCTGGGTTGCGGGCTGGGTCTCTAGTAGGGGGCACAAGAGGCAACCACACATTGATGTCCCTCCCTCTCTTTTTCCCTCCCTTTCCCTCTCTCTAAAAATAAATAAATAAAATCTTTTTAAAACATGGTAAATGAAATAACAAATTGATTTAGCCCTTCAGTCACTCCAGCAGGCCACAAAGGGCTCTTTTCTTGTCCTTCCTCTTCTTCTCTTCCTCTGCCAAGTCCTGTCCCTTCCACGTTGTAAATGAATTACCAAATCAGTGAGAACATGAATGAATGTCAAGTGATTATGTAAAGAAGAAGAAACAAAGGCAGGAAGGGAACAAGGGAAGGAGGGAGGGAGGAAGACAGGGAAGAAGGAAGAAAGGAAGGAAGGAAGGGAGGAAGGAAGGATGGAAGGAAGGAAGGGAGAACTAGGGTACTCACCCAGAGAGGAGCTGTCCCGTCCTGGTGGTCCCATTCTCCCCTTCTCCTTCTTGCCAAAGAGACGACCTATGGATGACTTGATGCTCTTCTTCTTGGGGGCTTTATGCAGGGCGTCTGGCGGGCCCTCACTGGATGATCAGGACAGGGTGAGGCCGGACCCCTTCCGGGATGCCTCCTCTCACCCCGAGTCTCTATCCCCTCCCACTTCACCCTCCCAGGCAAGCCCATCCCTGCCCCATTTCTTGTCCCTGCTGACCTTCCCCGTGAGGGCCCCCCATCTTCCAGGGATCCCGCCTGCAGTGCCAGGGCCTGCGTCATTCTCTCAAGGCGGGCAGAGCGGGGAGTGGGAGGTGGGGTGTCTCCCGGGATGGCCGGCCCCTCCCCTCGTGGAGCCCCAGCTTCCTCCTTGGGGACATGATTCTGGGGATAGAGACGTGGAGAAGCTGGACTGAGTTGGGGTACTCATGTCAGGGGCTCCTCATTAGCTGGGATGTCTACTTGGGGTGTCTGAGATGCCCCAGGTTTGGGCACTGTTTCTGAAGGCAGCCTCGTTCACATGGGGTGAGTGGTAGAAACATAAAGCTAAGTCCCGCTGGAGCTTGGCAGGCTCTTATTGATGGTGTCTTAGCTTATGGTGTCAGGAGTGGGATTGGCATGGCCTCAGGGAAGGGTACTCAGTTAGAGGTTCTGGAAGCAACAAAGCTTGGGTTTAAGGCAATACAATAAGGCTAGTATCTCTAATGCATCCCGAAAGTCAACTCTGAGGATCTAATGGTAGTTCTCAAATGTACATTTAGTCACAGACATTTTTTAAAAATCCTATGCAGAAACTTAATGCATAAAACTGGTAAAGGTATGCCCTGGCTGGTGTGGCTCAGTGGATTGAGCACCAGTTTGTGAACCAATGGGGCACCGGTTCAATTCCCAGCCAGGGCACATGCTTGGGTTGCACGCCAGGTCCCCAGTGGGGGGCGTATAAGAGACAAACACACACTGATGTTTCTCTCCCTCTCTTTCTCCTTCCTTTCCCTTCTCTCTAAAAATAAATAAATAAAATCTTTTTTTAAAAACTGCTAAAAGTAGACCAGAGCTAACTCAAGTACAGTTTGGAGTTCAGGAACACAGTGGCTCAGCCTTTCCTTCGCCCTTGGAGTTGGAACTTTTAGGGAAAGCTAAGGTTGCTTTTGAAAACCACCAGTGTGAGGAGTTATTGCTGCTGTCTGTCGAGGAGCCCCACTTCGGACCTTCTACCCACCCCACCACGCCGGGACGTCAGAACACTCACAGCTTTGTCGGTGCCCTCACGGGCAGGACTCGGGGGTGCCAGGCGGGGTGTTGAGTGGCCCGAGCTGGGAGGGGAGGGGCTGGCAAGGGTAGAGGTGGTGAGGGAGGGAGGCAGCGAGCAGCTACTGCGGTAGCGGCCCAGCGAGTCCAGGCCAGAGCCAGACACCCGACTCTCCAGCTCTTCTGCCCTTTGTTCGGTTGTCTCCTTTTCCTCCTGGATCAGCCTGAAGAGGGAAAGGGGAAGACTGGTGAGAGAACTGAGGCAGACAACAGGGGAAGGAGTCTGGGGACCCCAGTGGGCCAGAAAGTTTGGGAAGGCAAAAAGAATTCTGAAAGTCCTGGCTGGTGGGGCACAATGGACTGAGCGCCTCCTATGAACCAATGGGTCTCAGGTTCGATTCCCAGTCAGGGCACATGCCTGGGTTACCAGGCAGGTTTCCAGTAGGGGGAGCTTGAGAGGCAACCACACACTGATGTTTCTCTCCCTCTCTTTCTCCCTCCCTTCCTCTCTCTCTAAAAATAAACATTAGAAAAAAAAAAAGAATTCCGAGGAAGGTATAATGAGGCCAGAAGATCTTGGTGGATCCATGATGGCTTCACAGGTTCAAGGGCAGTCAAGGGGCCATGACAGGCTCCGGAGTTTGTGGAAGTAGATCAGGGAGGGCCACCTGCATCAGGGCAGCCCTGATAACGAACTGGTTCTGGGAAATTATAAGGGAATTTTTGTGGGCCAGAGGTCAAGTTCCCAGGAGAACATCAAGAGCAGCAGACTCATAGTAAGATCGAGATAAGATCTGGGATTCTGAGATGAACCTAGGCTCTGGGAAGGTCTCAGCAGGTGAGAGTCGGTGACTCATGTCCGAACAAGTGTGAATGAAAGGCGGGGGTCATGTCAGTGCACTTGCTGGGCCCCAGGGAGGTCTCGTCATTAGAGAATTGCCAGATAAGGCTGCTGCTGGGGCACCAGGGTGCACTTCATATGATGGGTGACTCCTAACCTGTTGAGGATTCTTGTTATATTAGGTAGAAATTCTTGCAGTGCAGAGGTGCAGTTCTTGATGTGTTATAGTGACATTCTTGGTGTTTTGGAATGGGGTGCTTGTGTCAAGGATCTTGGGGTACCAGGAGTCTCTGGTTACTGGTTGTGTGAAGCCGTGAAATCCATGGTGTACTGGAAAATTGTTAATGTACTGGATTGAGGATTTTGAAGGTGCAGTCTTTGCCGTATTGGGAAATTGTGAGTACTGACCGAGGGAGGTATATACACATATATATCATACAGGAGACTTCTGGGTGCATCCCGGGGGTTCCTGGACACTGAGGGAGGGTTGGGCTGGGGGCTGGGAACATTTCTTGAGGACAGTGGAAGAGGAATGGGATCTGGCCTTCACATCCGACTCCATAAGCAGAGAGGCTGTGGGCTGGGCTCAGTGGGCCCGTGGGAGCTCACTTGATCTCCTTGTTGATGGCCTCCAGCTGCTCCTGAAGCATGATGGCCAGGGTCTGCACATCCGCCTGCCCGCTGGGGGACAGCAGCTCAGCCCCAAACATCCCCTCCGCCTCCTCCTCATCGGAGCCGTCCAGGTCCCCAGGAAACGGGGGCGGCATGGACCCTGCAGGGGCGGATCGCTCCCACTCCTTTGTCTGTGTGGAGACAGAGAGACCCCAGGTGGGCGGGGGCCAAGGTATGCCCTGGGCTGCCCTTCAAGTCTCCTGACCCTGACCATGACCCTTGCCCATGACCCTGTTTACATTTCCTGACACTGGCTGCCCTCGCCATGAGATCCAGCCTCGACATGGTTTCCAGCTCAGTTTTCTGTCTTGACAGGCCCCGTTTCTTGACCATGCCACCCCACTGTGACTCCACCCCTCCCCATTTCAGTTTCCTTTGATCCAACCCACTTACTTTCTTCACTTAAGTCCACCCATGCAGGATTCCACACCCCGCCCACCACCCCCCAGGCCCCCACCCCTCCCCCCACCCCGCCATTCCTCCCTGGTTCTCACCAGGCAGCAGGGGTTCCGCAGGAAGAGACATCCGGGCCCGTGGGTGGACCGAGTGGTGGGAGGAGGAGAGAAGACAGCATGGGTCAGGGACACCCTGTTTCCCAACTCGGGCCCCTTCCAGAGCCCGGTGTGATCGACCTCATTTCCCATGGTTGCCCATCCAACCCCTGCTCAGTGCAGACCCCAGAAGTGGCTGCTGACCTTGGAGGGCTCATCCTTGACCCCTGACCAGCGGCTCCGTTTGCCTGCTCGGCCACTGCCAGCCCCATAGGGGTCCAGGTGGGCGCCGGAAGGTAATGTGGGTGCCTGGGAGTAGCGGAGCTCCAAGGCGCTGCCAGGGAGAGACCTGTGGGCATAGAGACCCAGGGGTCAGGAAAAGGAAACAGAGACAAGGGGTCATGGGGAAGGGCCCAGGGTCAGGGGACTAAGGGAAGGATCTGAAGTCAAAGGTCAGGGAAAAGGATCTGGGATCAGAGGTCATGAGATCAGGGGTCCAGAAACTAGAGATCAGGGAAGTCTCAGGAAGGCAGGTAGTGGGGGTGGAGCCAACCTGGGGGTCAGAAAGGAGGAGCTTAGCCAAGGAGGCCCATGGGTAGAGGCAGGGCAGAAGGGTCCTGTCACCTGGAGTAGGAGGACGGTGGCCTCCCCCGCAGCTGGTCAATCTCCATCTGCATGCGCTCCATCTCCGCCAGCAGCTGCTCCTGCAGGGAGCCGATGATAGGTGTGATGATAGGTGTCAGGTCCCAGACCCTGACCCAGCCGGGCCTGCTCCGTGACCCCATGCCCCCCTCCCTGCCCAGACCCCTCCCTACTTTGTTGAGCAGCAGCTCGTCCTGAAGCTTCTTCATGTTGGCAATCTCCTCGCTCAGTGAGTTCTGTGGGGGACAAGGGTGCAGTGAGTGGGGGGCCTGCAAGGGGCATGCTCTGGGGGCCTGAGAGGAGCCCCGGGGGTGGGAGGTGAGCATGAATGGGGAGCTGGAGGGCCTGGAGGATGTGCGTCCTAAGATGTCACAGAGTAGGGGAGTCCCTGGGAGTCCCAGAATTCCGAGTCTTGTGTAATCAGAAGGTTCAGTCGAGGGTCCATAGCATAAGGGGCTTGGAGAAAAGCCAAGGACTCGGGGTACGGGTGCCTCAGAATTTAGCTCTTGGGCTGTTTCGGTGAAGGAGTGGTCCCGGCAATACAGCAGAAAAGTCTGTCAGATTCGGAATGCTCAGGTTTAGGAGGATCTCAGGTAATGGATCCGGGGGAAATATCTGGGGCCCAGGGATCCGGGCAAGAGGTGGTCCGGGATGCAGGGTAATCGGAGGGCTGGGTTGGGGTGCACCTTCTCCTCCAGCGCCCCCATCCGCTCCTTGAGGTGAAGCTGTAGCCGTTCATTGGACTCGCTCAAGAGTTTGTCCACTGTCTCGGACAGCCGCTTATTATGGTCATCGTTCATCTTCTCCCGCTGCCGGGCCTGCTCAAAGGCGAGGGTATCAGAGGGTGCTCAAGCCCACCTAGTCCCGAATGCAGCCCCTGCTGTACACACTCGCCCCACGCCCACTCGCTCATCTAAGCCCCGCCCCAGCCTCAAAGCCCTGCCTTCACTGCTGCAGTCCGTTCCCTCACCCGCTGCAGTTCTTGGTTCTTCTCCTCCAACTGGGCCTCCAGTTGCCGAAGCCGCTCCTCAAAGTTCCCATGACGCTCCTCAGCCTAGGGGATGCAACCCGTGACCTCTGACTTTCCCACTGGGCCCCAGTGGGGCCCCAGTCCCGCTCCTGCCAAGACTGGGTTACAGGTCCGGCGCCCAGAGTTCCAGACTCTTCCGGCAGGACTCCAGACCCTGAGCCTGTGATTCATGCCCTGCCCCTCTTCTACAGGCCCTGTTCCTTTATCAGTTCATGTTCCAGGCCACCCACCCTTTCAGTCCAAACTAGAGAATGCCCCCCCGCCCCCCCTCCACCCCGCAAACCTCCAGGCCCTGGCTCCATTCCAAGCCCCATCCCTTCCCTAGACTCCAGGCCCCGCCTTGTTGCCCAGAGTCCAGGCAACAGGCTTCATACCCTTCCAGACTCCAGGCCCCGCCTCCTCTACGCCCCGCCCCCTTTCCCCGGAGACTCTAGGCCTCCCCTCACTTTATTGAGCGCTGCAACTCGCTGGGCCAGCTGCGCCTCTATCTCAGGCAAAGTCTCCGCCTTCTGCAGCGTCTGCTGCAGCTTCTGCTTGGCGTCGTCCAACCACTCAGCCAGCTGACGGCTCTTCTCTTCACTCTAGGGGTAGGACAGAGACAGGAGAGGGGAGGAGATAGGTCATACAGGCCATGACCACCTCCTCATCACCCCTCCCCGGCAGCGACCCCACCTGCCGGTACAGCGAGTCCTTGCTGGCCAACTCATTCTCCAGCTTGTCGTTGGCGTCATGAAGAGACGTGGCCTCGCGCTGGGCACTCAGGTAGCGCTTCTCCAGCGTTGTGATTCTCTCCTCCATATCCTCCCGCTGCGCCAACGCCTGCAGAGGTGGCAAAGGGCTGCGTGGACTACAGCTCCTAAAAAGCCCTGAGGGTAACCCAGGCTTGGAGCCCCAGATTAGGCACCCCAGGGAATCCTGGGAAATAATGTCCCCTGACATCCAGGCCTCGGAATGGTGGAACCAAACCTGCCAAGAGCTCCCAGGAATAGCCAACGTTAGGCCCCCTGGTGGCGGTATCACACTTTCTGTGTATTTCCAGGCTAGTACTGGCTTAGACCCTCCCTGCCTGGATGGACCTAAGGCTCATGGGATGGAAAACTTCCTCCACTCTTCTTGGACCACTTGCCTCAAAAATCCAAGGCTTACGTGTTTCAGCAACTTCTGGCACAGCTCAGACTTAGAATCACAGAGCAAGTGCCCTAGGGTCTCCTGGGAAACAAAGGCCCCTTCCACCTGGGAGGCAACATCTCCCAAGATCCCCCCCAGGGTCTCATGGAAGATGGACTTTGGTCTGGGAGCCCTTGTGGTGTCAGACCACATTTCCCAACAGGCCCCAGGGCCGTTGGGGCTTAAAATGTTGAGGTGAAAGGCCTTTGAGAATCCGTGCCTCCATTTGCCAGCAGTCCCTGGGACATGGGGGTTAGGACGAAGGGCCCCTAAACTAGGAGGGGGTGAAATGCAGACAAAAGAATTCAGTGTGAAGGCACAAGAGAATTCTCCACTGATAATATAACTACGAACAGTTCCTGAGGGCCTACCACATGTGTGGCACATACCGATCCTCTGGCAAAAATCATAAGTCTCATTTTACAGGTGAAGAAACTGAGGCTCAGAGAGGAGGAGAATCTACACGACTTGTGAACTGAATCCAGGTTCACTCCTGAGCTCTGTGGCTCTGGGCAGAGGGAGATGGGGAGGGTGAGGGCGGGTGGGGGGGGGCACAGGGCAACCCACCAGGGGCTCCGGCCTCACCTCCTTGAGGTCTCGCTGGAGCTTGGCGTTAGCTTCCTCGGCCTTACCCAGCTCACGGTGGGCGGTGCCCAGCTCCTCCTCCAGCTGGCTCATCTGGCGGCACAACACCGCCAGGCGCTCCCGCAGCTGGCACACCTCCGCACGCTGCCGCTCCAGGGCCTCCTCCAGCTCAGCCGTGCGCCGGTTGGAATCCCCGACAGGACCCAGGCCATTGGCAAGGGTCTGCAGTGGGGGCAGTGAGGAAGGAAGGGACAGAACCCAGAGTGGGGAAACAGAGAATGCAAGGAGAAAGTTGAGGGGGAAGGATGAATTAGAGATCAGTAGGGGTCATGGAGGTCACAGAAGTTAAGTACAGGACCTGAATCAGGTTTTAGGAGTTCAGATGTCCCCGAGTCAGTGAGGATCATATCAAACATTAAAGGGACCATCACAAAGTCAAAGACAGAGTGGGAGTCACAGGGATGAGGATGAATGAAGAGCAAAGGGAGCAAAGGGCTGCCACCTCATACCTGCCCGTCTCCATCCTTTCCCGGCTCCTCCAGCCCCGATCGGCGCCTAGACAGCTGCTCTCGGAGGCTCAGGCTCTGGGAACGGGAAAGGGAGATCAGGGCCAAAAGATTAGCTCTTTCCCACTGGCACCAGTCCTCTGTAGCGAAAACCCTCCCCAGTCCTGCTGGGGGTACCCTTAGATCCCGTGCTCTCATTATCTCTCTCTTCAGCTGTCCAGCAGGGTGGGAGCCCAGCCTCCCCCTTGTCCTCTTTAGCCCTGACTTTTCCCAGGCCACTGCTTCCTCAGGAGCGGGTTCCTCCTGGTAGCCCCAGCCCCTGGTTCCCACCTTAGTCTCACTTTCACTAGGCAGTTCTCCTCATAGCCCTGCTTGGGGAGTTCCTCCATAGGACCCCCCCGGCTCTCTCCATGGTCCATCCCCATGGGTCCTCTGCTCTAGTTCTGCCCCCAATGGATTCTAGAGCCCGGAATCAAGGGCACCCCATTGGGAGTTCCTTAGTCCCTCCCTCCCCTTCTTGGCCCCACCTCCTGGTTGCTCATCTCCAGCTCTTCCTCTAGCACTGCCACCCGCTCCAGCGCCATCCGCAGCCGCTCCCGGACCTGGGGACGGGGCAGGACAAGAGGGAGATAAAGATCAGATCCCATGCAGGACCTTCGGCAATAATGCAGCACACCTCTGCACAGGGCCTGACAGGGCCACGTTAGAATTCCTCTGTCTGTAATGGATGTGTAGCCCCAACCTGCCACCAAAGAAGCCCCGCCCGCTGGTAGCCTGACCCTAGTTCATTTTTCCATTCACAACCCGTCGGGTCTCAGTCAGCACAAGCCAGTCAATCAGAGTCAGCCTTTTTCCCACTTAGGACAACCTGGACCAATTCAGAACAGCCACCTCCACGCCCGGGGTTTCCCTTCTGCGCCCAGGATCAACCATTCTCATACCTTCTCATCCAGGGCCTTGTGGTGCTCGAAGAGGGATTTTAGAGCCTTGAGCACCTCCACCTCGGATGAGACCCCGCCTGGGGACTGGGCCTGGCGTTTCACCACGGTCATGCGCAGTGACCTCTCGTGCCTGGACACCAGGCACTCCAGGTGTTCCAGTAGAAGCTACAGGGATAGGGCACGGGCCAAAGAGACATGGAAAGAGAAGCAGGATAGAGGGAAAATGTGGTTCAGACAGGGAGGTCGGACACACGGAGAAAGACATCAAGAAAGGTGGAGCCAAGTAAAGGGGTAAGGAACGAGACAAGTCAGGAACAGAGAACGGGATATCCGAGGTAGAGGGACGGGGCCAAGGGAGGAGTGGTACAGAAACAGAGATCGTTAGGAAGGAGGGGACCAGAGGACACCAGCCAAGAAATGGGAGCAGGGAGAAGAGGGGAAGGCGAGGTGGGGAAGAAAGATGGGTCAGGCATCAACAACGCGAGGCCCCGCCCGCACGAGTTAGGCCCCGCCCCAACGACCCTCACCCTTGTGTTGTTCCGCTCCGCCTTCAACTCCGCAATTTCTTCCTCCCGCTCCAGCAGCTGCTCCCGACATAAGTTCAGCTCCTTCGTCAGAGCCGCAAACTCCTGTACAGATGTGGACAAGATCGAGACAATGAGATCAATATTTTCCCCATCTCCCTCATTGTAGCGAAGAGTTTGAAGGCCCCACCCCCTGCTAAGCCCCGCCTCTTCTAGCGACTCAAGCCCTGCTAGTTACCCGCAAAGCCAGCCCCGCTGACTCCTCCCCTCCAAGCGCCAAGTTCCGCCCCCTCCGGCCCTCCCTCTCCACGCCTACACAGCCCAAGGCCCCGCCCCGGCCCCGCCCAGACCTGAGGCAGCGCGATGCTGAGCTGTCGCTGCAGCGAATCTTTCTCGTGGCCCAGCTCGCGCAGCCGCAGCTGCGCCGTAGCCAGTCCATCCTGCGCCTCTCGCAGCGTCTCCAGCAGGCGCTCGCGCTCCGTGAGCATCGTGACCATGAGGCGCTCCAGCTCGCCGCCCGTCTCGTCCGGGCCCAGCGCCGAGCCCCGCCGGCCATCCTCGCTGATGGTGGGCATCACCTCGCACATCATGGCGGCGGTGCTGGCCTGCAGGTGCGGGAAAGGGGCGGGGGTCAGAGACCGGCCTCGTCAAGGCACAAACTGAGACATGGCCACTCTGATACTATATAAAGGAAACTGAGGCCGGACCACCCAGGTATTGCACAGAAGAAATTGAGGCCTGTGCGTTCCGATGATGGCACAGGATAACCTGAAACCCGTTGCTCTCAGGAATCCAGTACTGCCTAGCTGGGTGAGAATATTTGGGGAAACCGAGGTCAGACTCCACCAGGCACTAGCAGCAAACCTAGCCCTGGTCTAGTCCAAGAAACTGAAGCCGTGTGACCCTGGCACGGCCTAACTAAAAATGGAAAATTCAGTCTTGACCTATTCTGGCCCTGCTGAGACTCTCCCTCAACCCACTGCCTAAGTGAGGAAACAGGCCCAGCTGAGAACCGTGACCTCAAGCCTGGGGTCACAGAATTAGGTCACTGCTGGTAAGTGGTTACCTGCTATCCCGCTCAACTCCCCTGTCCTTCAATTTCTCATGTGGACCTCAGCTCCAGAAGAGTCTAAAGACCCATTCCACATGGGAGTGGAGAGAAGCATGGCAGAGGGCAGGGCAGGCTAGCCACCTCCCACGACGAAGGTGTCCAAGATCCAGCTCTCTCCTTCCTCGGGTCTCAGGAATCCTGCAGTCCCTTCCCCCAAACTCAGGAGGCTAAGCCTCCAGCCCCCTCCTTCCCAATTCCAGGAGTCAGAGATATCTTCTGCTCTCCCTCTGGGACCTGAGTCTGGGGTTTAAACCTCCAACCTTAGACTCAGAAATCCAACCTTCAGACCCCTTCACCCCAGAACCTGGCAGTGCAGGCTCCCAAGACCCAGGAGTCTGGATGCACAAGTTGTGGGCGGAGATGAATCGAGTTCTCCTGTACCTCTCCCTCGCACACAGCAGGTTGGACAGGTTGAGCTGGCCCAGCCGAAAGCAGGAGGGACTTTTACTCCTTTCCTTCTCTCCCTTACGGCTGGGGCATAACCGGTTCTGCGAGTAGGTCTTTCCCAGCCCCACCTAATGTTCAGACTGTGTCCATAGCGTGGGACCGGGGCCTTGGACTCCTGTGTGGATAGGAGAGGACTGAGAGCCCTGGAACCTGGGGAAAGAGGCGGCTGGGTCCCCTGGGTCTTTGAACAGGTGCATCTGAGAATCTAGATAGCTGTATCGCAGCACTCAGAGGCCAGATTCAGGAATGTGTTTGCAAGAGGGCAGGCCAGCCTTAGGCCCGGAACCAACATGGTATCCAAAGCCCAGAACCTACTCAGGACATACAACACAGGATGTTTTAGGGAGGCTGTACCAGAACTTCAAATTCACTGAGAAAGAAATAAAACACAGCCAGCAAGGCTAGGCAAAAATCTAAAAAGCCACTGACATGCAGACAGTACAGAGTGCAAAAATGGATGCATGCTTCCACATTTACAATGTGAACTGGGTAGGAGCTGCACATAGGGCATATTCTAGCAGCTAGGTCTGCAACTGTGAACCAGCCAAGAGCAAGCAGTAAGTTCAAGAGTGACTGGGTGACCTCAGAATGATACCTAAGAATATACCTAATGAAATGCACAACAGACCTAGTCAGGAGACATAATCTAGGACTCAAAACCTACCAGGGATAAAGATACAACATAGAGTACAGCAGTGGTTGCATTCTCAGTTTTATCATGTGTCTAGATAATGCTAGAACTCAGAACCAAAAAGACATGCTCTAGAATTCAGAACGTGCCCTGGAGGTGGAGAAAAACCTAGAAAGTAGCAAGGAGTTTGCCTGGAACTTAGTCATGCCTGCAGGAAGATGTAGAAGGATGCATGCTGGGAATTGAGAATTTACTGGCATAAGGACTGAGCTGGCAAAGGCGAGATGTTGTGTTCTGGAAATGAGGACATTTCTAGGCTGAAGACTCTAGAAGAGGGGAGAGCCCAGAGCATGCTTAGAATGCTGAAGCGGCAGAGAGAGGGGGAAGCCCATGATCCACCAGGGGACAAGTTCTAAACTAACATCACACTAAGGAAAAGGGAAATAGAGAAGGTGGGAATGAATGGGCCAAGAACCTGGAACCTGAGGAAGGAAGGAGGAAGGTCAAACACTTTGGTGGGAATCCTGTAGATTTGAGACTGTAGCATTGGATGGAACCCCAAGCAGGAAAGTGCACTGTAGAACTGATAGCACAACTCAGAGAAAGAGAACAGCACGGAATTGGAAGACACACATTCTAGAACTTAGAATGCCCCTGGGAATGCAATGTAAAACAGTGCCCAGGATATGGCTGGAACCTAGAACACACCTAAAATGAAATTTTAGCAGAGGATAAGATTGGTGTCTACACATTTAGGACATGCCTGGGGAGATGACAGGATCAGAATTTGCCTAGAATTTAGCATCTAGCCTGGAACTTAGAACACGCCTTGGGTGAAGATGAAACGGAGATGTCGACTGGGTGTCATGTTCTGGGATCCAGAAGGAATCTAGAATGCGGAGCATTGCAAGGGTAATGTTTAACTGGAAATGTGGGAGACAGCGGATAGGTTCTGGATCATCTGACGAGCCTAGGTCACAGAACACATGTGGAGGGAAGCATGTGCGTTTGGCATGTGAGTACAGCCTGAGAGAGAGAGTGCACTTGGAGGATAGGACATCACCGTAGGGGCCTCGGAAAGCAGTGGAGTGCTGGAAATAGCTCCAGAAGCTGGGTCTCAGGGGAGAAAACAGTCCTGGGAGCCCAGCAGCTGGGACGAAATGGGGATGAGGCAGGGGTTTGTCCAGGCCACTGGGAGATGGCTGGTTGATAAGGGGATCGTGAGGCTGTGGGGACCTGGGTTCCTAACAGTAAGAGATGAGGGGCTAGATGCCTGGGGCAGGAGGAGGGCAGAGCTGGGAGGTCTGGATTCCTGAATTCTTATGGAGATAAACGACAGGGGTTTGGGAGGCAGAGCTGGGGCAGACGGCCTCCATAGGGGCTGGTGACCAGTACAGAAGCTAGGCTCTGAACGCCTGGGTCCCTGAGGGGATGCAGGACTCCGACCGGCATCTAGGTCTCCGGGGGTGACGGGGGTGGGGGGAAGGTGGGAAATGCCAAAGAATTGCATTAACGATCGCATTCTGAGTGCCTGAAACGGAGAGAGTCATGGCGCCTGAATCCCTAAGGGGCAGATGCGGGGGTACTAAGGAGACTGGGTATATTTACTTGAGGAGTACAGGGGCTGTTGAACTGGGGGTCTCAAGGGGGCAAAGGCTGGGAACCTGGATCCCCGGATGCTCAGGTCCCTAAGGTGGACAGGGCAGGAACATTCAGAAGCTCTGACTCCTCAGGAAGGTGCTGGGGTCCCGGAAACCTGAGGTGCTGAGGACTGGGTGAAGAGCTTGGCCAGCGGAACCCTGATGTCCCAGAGCCCGGGTCGGGGAGGGCCCGGGTATCCCCGGGTCAAAGGCGCAGAGGGGGATCCCCGCGCCGCCGGCGCCCCCTCCCTGGCGGCAGCAGCGGGAGGTGGGGGAGGCGAGGCTGCCGAGCGCGCTGACCATGGACAGCTCCAGAGCGGGCCTGTGTCCAGGGCGGCAGCCGGGCCGGCCTGGACTGAGGGACGAAGCCGTCTGCCCAAGCCGGAGGGCTGGAGATGGGTGCGCGAATGGGAGACTATGTACAGACGCGACGGGGGACGGGCGACCCTCTCCAGGAGAGTGTGACACAGCCGCGGCGGCGTCTGGAGCTCTCGGGACTGGGCCGAGGAGGAGGATCTAGATTCTGAGGGGTTCCCAGGGTGGAACTGAAATCCAGGCTCCTGGGCCCTGGAGGCGGCGCAAGGCGGCAGTACGCCTGGGATTCTGGGGTTCGGTTGGGGACTCCGAGAGCCGGGAGGGGCACGCCTGACTCTCTGGGGTTTGGCTGTGAAATCTGGGCTGTGGGGTCCCGGGGGATGAAGAAGGGAATCCAGGATCTCGGGGAGGCGGGGGAAGCTCGGCGAGGGGTCCCCGGGGTGGGCGCTGCCTGGCAGGCCGGGCCGGGCTCTTACCTACCTGGTCCGCGGCGGTTGCGGGCGGAGCTGGGCTGCAGGAGGGACGTGGGGTGGGGTGGGGGGACCGGGCGGGGCCCCTGGCGGCGGCCGGGGCCCGGATCTGTAGCTCCGGAGCCCTGTCTCCGCCGCTCGCGCGGGCTCCGCGTCTCTCGCTCCGGCTTGGGCGCTGGGGACCCCCCCTCCCTCTCAGTCTTACAGCCCTCTACCCCCTAAAATAGCCCCCTACCCCTGTCACAGTTAATCCTCCCCCCACGAGGCCGCAGCCGCCAGATCCAGGGGTGTCCACCAGCGCCCCCAAAAATCCCACCTTCCCCCCCAAAAAATTTCCTCCTCCCTCCCCCCAACAGGCTCCCGGGCGGTCGTGGCCCCTTTAACAGGAGACTGACAGACGGCTCCGAGTGACCAATGGTAGACAGCGTCGGCACCGGCAGGAGGCTAAACCCCGCCTCCGCACGGGCTGGGAGGGGTCGCGCGGGCGGAGAGCGGGAGGCGGGGCTCAAGACAGATTGGCCAATAGGGGTACGGCGTGAGGCTGCTGGGGCGGGAGGCGGAGCCCGGCAGGGAGATGATGTCACCTGGAGCGAGTGGCGCGCGGCGTGGAACGCGAGTCGCGACCCCGGATCCCGGCGGCGACGCGCCGCTGGCCCTCGCGCCGCACGGAACAGGAGGGGCTTGGCGGGCGGTGAGGTGGGAGTAAAGGTTGTATTTTAAGGTGGGGGCGACTCCCGGAGACGCGCTTGGGTTGAACGTGGGGTGAATGCCGGGTCAGCGAGTGCACCTTATTCTGCACTCTGCGTCTGTCTCGGGAACTGCACGCGGCACCCCCCACTCCTGTCTCCCACGCAGGGCTCCCCCGGCGGAGAAGGTGAATGGTTTGCTCCGCCCCGCCCACAGACAGAACACCCACTGGCTCCCGCAGCGTTTCAGGACTCATGGGTAGGACCAGCTACAGAAGGGGCTTGGCCTCCACCCTCAGAGTCTCTTAAAATTAGGGAATGCTGTCTTCAGGTTTGAATTCGCACTCAGACCCAGGCTGGGTCTCAGCCTCTGTCTTTGGACTTGTCCCTAGGAAGTTGGCTGGCTTCCACCTTCAGACCTGGGGAAAAGTCTCCATGTGTCCGCTCTTGGACTCTGCAAAGGGCTTCTTTAGGGCCTGGCCTCAACTTCAGTTCCTCTCACTCCCTCACTCTCTCCCCAACATCTCAAGACCCAGAACAGACACACAAACACTCAGTGAGGTTCAAAGATCTTTAAATAAGGAGCAGGTGACAATAAATACTGTACAGGAAATGGGGTGAGCAGGAAGGTCCAGATCTGTGGTTTCAGCCTCTGGACTCCAAGGACCTGCAAGGAGGGTGAAGAGAAGGGAGCCAGGCTCAGGGTAAGGGACCTGGGGATGGATGGGTAAGAGCTAGGGCTGGGTTTCCAGAACCAAGGGCTCAGGGAAGTGGTTTGAGGAATTCCAGGGAAAGTAGTTTCCAGATCTTGAATGGGAGTCAGCTGAGTCCCCAAGGGCTTTAGCCAGAATGGCTTGGGGGTGAGAGTCTGGGTCAGGGGTCAAGGGTCAGACTCTCAGGAGAGTAGCCATGACTGCGGGTGGCAATCAAGGTTTCACCAATCATTGGCCTGCTTTGGGAGTCTGGGGATAAGGCAGGTAGTGGAGGCCCCCGGGGAGGGGTGGCAGCAGAAAGCTCACGAGTAGCTCTGGTGCTGCTGCCGCCTGCGGGCAGAGCGCATCTTCTCGAAGCGGGCCTCCATCTCCTCCAGCACTCGAGGTGTGTAGCGCACCACCAGCTTTACAGAGCCCTGGGCCGCCTTCAGCAGCTCCACAGCCTTCTCGTGCTGCTCGCCCTCGACGCTCTGCAGGACGGTGCACAGACAGCTGGGCCCAGGGCCCGCCGCCCTCACCGGGCTTCCACCCCAGAAACAGGCTTCCACCCCAGAAACAGGACTGTTAGTGACCTGCCGCCAGCCCTGAGCTGCTGAACCTCCTGTCCTCATGGGAGAGGCAGGAACTCTTGGCTCAGTGTCCTCCCTCCAAATTTTCCAGGTTCTCCATGTGAGGGATAAGCTCAATGAGCCCTCAGTCACTGAGCTAGACCTCCAGGATCACCTTTATCCCCTCCTTTGCCAGTCAGCTACTCCCCAGCCCCATTGCTCCTGCCCTGAATCCCCCTTCTTTATCTCTACAACCCCAGCCCCAGCTCAGGCCTCATCCTCTCCCCAGTGGACTCTCAATGTAGCCTCCTCCCTGGCCTTCATTCTCTCCCCTCAGTCCACCCTCCAGAGTCCCAAAGGGGTCTATCTACACCTCCAAGCTGAGTCTATCCCTCCTTTATTCATAGCCCTCCCACGACTCCCCAGAACCCTTGAGACAAAGCCCCAGCCTCTTAGGCTGGCACTCAGGCCCTACAAAGTGGGCCCCAACCACCCATGTAGTTGTGCCTCCATCTACTCTAACTAGTGATTTTAATTGCCTACATGCCCCCATCCTCCATCAGAACCAAGTCCTTTACCTCATAGGAGTGTCACAGCCCCTACCTACAACACCCTCAGCCAGGAACACCTTCACCTTTTTTTTTTTTGCCTGGAGAACTCCTATTCATCCTTCAAAACCCAACTAAAATGTTCCTTCCCCGGCAAAAACTTCTTTTCCCTCCCCTGGTCTGGTGCCACATCACAATGTTTTGTGCTTCCTCATTATTATCACCCTGGATAGGGCCCACCTCCCTCATGAGAGAGGGAGTTCTTGAAGGTAAGAGCAGAGGCCAACTTTTCTCAGGGTCCACAGTAGTGTCCAGCACATGGCTGGATACAGAGGCAGCACTCAGTCTGTGTGTGATAGATAAATGTCAAAGACTTTGACTCCGTCCCCCAGCCCTACCAGCTTCCCACTCACCACACCATTCACAGACAGCAGCTGGTCCCCACGCTTGAGGCCTCCGTGGCGGTCAGCCACACCTCCGGGAATGACTCGGGAGATGTAGATGGGCGAGTTCTGCTCCTTGCCCCCCATAATGTTGAAGCCCAGGCCCTCGTCTGTCTTGGGCAGCTCCACTACCCTGGGGTGTGCGTGACCCTCACTGGCTGTGAAGGCGGCAACTGTGGCCTGGGAGAGAGAAAGCATCACATCGGGAGCTGAGGGGCCTGCAGAATGGGGTGGAGGATCCAGGCCAGGAAGAGCTATTGAGGCCAGATAGCTTTCCCCAAGCACGAGGCCCCTGCCAGTGCATGGTTCAGTGGAAGATCACCCCATAATGATTGTATGTCCCTTTTGGTTCACTTTGAACAGTGCAGACAGGTCAAAGAGAAGTCTTTATTCGGTGTGAATGTATCTTGAATACTCAACACTTGCCAATCTCACTTTTTAACAGAGAAAAACAAGGCCTGGAAGAAGCTGAGAGCCCCCAGGAAGCCACAAGAAATAGCATCTGACTATAGTTTAATCAGATTTTGGTGTTTACTGATATTTCATTGTATAGGTGTTTAAAGTTATCTCCGAATGTGGCATCCAGTACTAGTTTCAATTTGCAGTTAGTAAAAATGCCTTTTTTTCTTTTATTTATTTGTTTTTAGAGAGGGGAAAGGAGGGAGAAAGAGAGGGAAAAGTGGTTGCTTCTTGCACACTCTGTACTGGGTACCTGGCCCAGGACCCAGACATGTGCCCTGACTGGGAACCGAACTGGCAACCCTTTGGTTGGCAGACCGGCACTCAATCCACTGAGCCACACCAGCCAGGGCTAAAGATCCCTTTCTTTATATGATATTTAAGTTAAAAATATGAAAATAGTCAAAATAAATGATAAAAAAGTAATAATAAGGGTGGTACAGCGATATGACAAAAATCACGAAGGAAGAACCAGGATTGAATGACATTAGAAGTTCCGTGGATGCCTTGAGTGATGGGGTAAGGGGCGCCTACCTTGGCTGTGGCGTGGGCCCGGATCTCGGCACTGCCAGTGATGTCCAGCGTGTCATAGAGCTGCTCGTACACCTGGTGAGGACGCAGCAGCATCAGGGAGCCGCCAGTCCCCTCCTCCCTTCAACACAGGAGTTCAGGCCTGCAGACTCTCCCACCCAAGGAACCCTCCCGCCCCCGCAACCTATAGTCAAATGAAACTACAACTTCCAAAGAATCACGGAGCTGACGCAGGAACACCTCAAGGCGGGCTGCCCCAGGCACTGCTGGGAGGCGTAGTCCCTGTGCTCGGGGCGACCAGGAAGGCTGTGGCAGCCGTCTGTGCCCCAGTGCCGTGCAGCACTCACCTCCCGGATGGCAGAGCAGAAGCGGCTCTGCAGGACACGCTGGAGGGCCTGCAGCTTCTGCGGGGGCAGCTCCCCGCTGCGCTGGAGCCGCTCCAGGAGCTCCACCGCCCGAGACACATCTGCGGGGCGGGGGCGGGAGCGTAGACACAACCACAGACACAATCAGAGACACCAAAAGGCCGAGGAGCACCGAGAGATGCGGCCAGAGACCGAGTAAGGGCGAGCGCAGACAGACCCCGGGAAGGACAGCAGAATCCCGGTCGGACACCCGCGGACACCTGGTGGCAAGGGCGCCCTGCGTCCCCAGGATCCCCATATACACCCAGACAGGGGTGTGCAGCGGACGCCCCTCCCCGGCCCACTTGCCCACGGACCCTCCCACCCCCGCTAACAGCCAGACTCACGACGCCCCGCCCACGCGCCCCCCCCCTCCCGCGCAATCCGTCTGCCCACCCACCACCCATGCCTTGCAGAGGTTGGGGCGGGGATGGGGGTCCAGGATGCTGGACGCTACCGGGTGGGCAGGGCCCCCTGGCGCGCTTACCGCGCTCCAGCCCCAGCGGCTCCACCAGCGCAGCCATGTCGGCGCCGCCACTGAGAGCCGCCTGCCAGCCCGGTCACCAGAGACGAGGGAGGGGCTTCACAAGGCCACGCCCCTGGCGACGGGCGCCCCCTGTGGAGACGCCACCGCTCGCACCTCTCCAGGCGCCTTGGCCGCCACACCTACTGCTGCTCCTGTCTGGCAGCCCTGCCCTCAACTCCCATTGGTCTGCTCTGTTTGCGACCTTTCCTATTGCGGAGTCTCCCCCACCTTCCATCTCAGTCTGTCTGTCCAGCCCACCAAGCCTGTCGGTCTCCTCTATTCCTTTTCTCAATGTTCATTGGACAAATGTATGTTAAACATCTGGGCCCCAGATGATGGACACGGAGCTTAGACCATGGTGAAGAGGAGGTAGACAACCAACTACGACTGTGATGAGAATTGGGAGTGGGGGCGTGATGATCTGAGAGGAACTGAACAGAGTTCTTGAAGGTAAGATCCCGAGGTGGGATGTGGGTTACTTTCCAGGCAAAAGAGCCCACGTAGCTGGGCGAGGAGCTGGACAGCAGAGCGAGGACTGCAGTGATTTGTGGCGGTGGAGAGGTGGGAAGGATAGTTTCCGCACGGACTGGAAGGTTCGCGCTGGCATGTTGGGGATTTTGAACGATGGAACTCCGAAGAGTAAAATGTGATCATTCAAATGTGTAGTTGAAGACCACAGATGCGAGCAGAAGTGGAGGCAGGGGAGCAGGTAGGAGGCTATCCCTTGATGGCTGGGACCAGGGTAGAAGTGTGGAGGGTGGGTGGACAGATTTGGAAATGTCCGGACAAGCCTTGGTGACTAAGTGTATGTGAGGACTGGGAGGTGGGGGAGGGGAACTAAGGTGCCTGTGGAGCCTTCTACTCAGGTCGTCTGTGCTGGAAGGACATTGGACATTTTGAACTTGAGGAGCCTTGTCCAGTACCCAAGGCCTGCCACCATTTGTGAGATTTTGAATTTGGGCAAAGATGGAAAATAAAACGGTAGGAGTGGACAGGAATGCTGGAGGCAAGACTGCAGAGTGAAGAGGGCCTAGGACTGTTGAGTTCGCAAAACTCCTAACATTTCAAGTTGGAAAGAGGGCAAACAATGGCCAGGAAAGAGGAGGAAAATCAGGTGAGAAAAACCGTAAGAAAAGTTTTTAAAAAGAAAGTAGGTGGCTGTATCAGATGCTCTAGAGGGACCAAAGAAACAGGAAATACACACGAGACTGCCCCACCACTGGCTGGATGTGGGTATGGTGTCCAGAAGTAGGCTTTCGCAAAGCCAGAGGAAGTATGCAAGTTTATCTGTCCCTCTCTCCTTCACAGAACTCCCCCTGCCCCCGCATTTTAACAAAAATTCCACTTGATTTTTTACAAGATTTATTTTTTTATATAAACATCAATGTGCAAGAGAAGCATCAGCTAGCTGCCTCTTGCAGGCCTCCCAACTGAGGACCTGGCCTGCAACCCAGGCATGTGCCCCGACTGGGAATCAATCCTTCGATTCACAGGATGGCGCTCAACCCACTGAGCCACACTAGCCAGGGATACTTAACTTGATTTTAAAAACACAATCAAGTAATGCAGAAGGGCTAATATTGAAAAGCACCAGCCAGTCCTAACTCAACCCACTACAAGAGGCAACAATTTAATAGATGTTTAAACTGGTAGTTCCTTCTGTATCTACATAACTTGTTACTTCTCAATTTATTCATTTTAGTTGTTAATAATGTTACATATTGATTTTCTGCTCTTATAACCTTTCCCCTTTTCCCACGGTAGCTTTATGGTACCGGTTTTGAGATCAATCAATAAAATGCTTACATTATGTCTTAAGTATTGTACTTAATCTACTGTAGAACCCAGGCAGTGTTCTGTGATATTTTTTTTTTTCTTGAACAGCTTCCCCACCCCTGGTGTGACTTCTACCTACTTTTCTTTCTTTCACTATTCTCATTTCTTTCCAACTCTCCATCACAACAGATACCTTACTGCACAGGTGGCACACACAAGGCCCGCGGGCCAAACCCAGAAATCCATCGTTTCTACCCAGCAGCAGCGCTGAGCTCTCGCTTAACTGTTAAGTAGTTACATTTATAAAGTCCTAAGATGACATTCAGCCCTTTGAAGGCAACTGTAAGGATGATGTGGCCCCCAGTGAAAATGAGTCTGACACCCGTATCAGTCTTTTAGACCTGAAACTCCTCGGAAATTTCAGTCCTCTGACCCCAATCTGGATCTCTCTAGAAAACTGCCATCCTGGGACTTTCTCCGTGATTATGCTGAACTGGGTTGTTCTCTTTCAAATCCCTCACTTTGAAGTATGTTCTCAGTTAAGTTCCTAAAAAGATCATTAGATTGTTCTTTTCATCTGATTTTCATTCCCCTAGCACTCGTAGTGTTAACAAGAATGTGTCAGCTTATCTAATCAACTACCAAATGCACCTATTAAATTCTTAATTTCAGTCCATTTCCAGTTCTAAAATTTTCACTTAAGATTCCAGGACTGTGAAAATTCTCCACCTTTGCCTTATTTTGTGAGCATGTAGCTATTTCAGTCTCTGGTAACTCCAACATCGGAATCATGCCTGGGTGTTTCTGTGGCCTCTTTTTTTCTCTTGGTTTTCAGTAACTCCAATCCTCCGACATGCCTGATGACTAGATGCTGAGCACTGTGTACTAAAAGTCAGACTCTGAAGGATAACTTGCAGTTATTTCCTTCTGGCAGACAAATAACCTTAATCTTTACGAGGCCTGGCGTATTTCACTTGCAGCCTTACTCCAATATTGTGGCACTCTGGGGATCTCTAGCACAGCCATTTGCGATGGCAGGCCTTGAACCCCAACCTCTCTCCCCAAGAATTCCATGGCTACAGTGATCTTTGCTTAGCTCCTTAGTTTTCACTATGCCTTTCTCCCGAGCACCTTGGGTCTTGCGAAGAAAACGCGCAACTTCCTAGTTGGAGTATACCTCAACAAGACGACTGTATACAGACTTGGAGGCCCAATGGCCCCCACGCCCCAGCAGTCTGGCCTAACTTCTGTGAACTCAGTCCTGTGGGGGACTGCCATTTTCTAAGTCTACCACCTCACGTTAAACGTCAGAGAAGTCAGGTAGATAAATTCATTTGTGTGCTTTCTTCTCCTTAGGGATCAACTGCCTCGAGTCTCACCTACATTGGTTGCCCTCCAATGCTTTCCCCAAGTTGTTTCAGATCTTCTGTGCAGTCTTTATAACTAGACTGGGCCAAACTAGTACAAAATGGGCTTTTCTCCACAGCCAATTCCAGAAGTCTAATCGCAACATATGAGATTTCTATAAAAATATACTAATCCGTGTCATTAAGTTTTCTTTTTATTCCCTAAGTTATTTCTGCCTGGAACAGTTTTTTTTTTTATGTATCTTGCAGACTCCTGTTGTAGGATTTTTTTCAAATGCCTGTGACTTTTCGTTGTACGTTTATGAATACCAAGGTAGCTAGAAAGCATACTAGGATCCTTGTAGCTGACACACTGCCTCTGGGTTATGTCAAGTTTTTCTTTAGGCTGAGAAACTTCTGGAACACCCAAGCAGGTCCGGGCATGTATATCCTCGTCAGGAAAAGTCCAGCCCTCGGGCACATGGAGTACTGAAGCAAAGGGCCGCTGTTGTGTTGTAAGTCCACCTCGTTCCCTATCCTTCTTATACCTGGAGTTTCAACCTTGAGCCTCTAGAATCCTGCAAGGGTGACTGGCTTCCTTCTCAAGGGGCCATCAGACTGAAGTGTTCTCACCATTGTCCTCCTTAATCTTCTATCCAGAAATGTGCTGAAATCTCAGTTGCTGGAAGCTCTTCTTTCTTGCTTGTGATTACTCTGCTGTCATTAGGAAGTAGCAAGGAAGACAAACGGTGAAGCTGCCACCATGCACTGTAGGCCGTTCTCCATCCTGGCCCTGTGTGGCCTTCCCGCTCCACCCAGTCTTCCCATCTTTGTGTCTTATTCTCCTTTCATTTCTTCACCCTCTTTCAGCTCTCCAATTCAGACAAAGCTTCCCCTTCATGCTTTCAAATTTGCAGCCCCCACTGAGTAATCAAATGCCTGGAGCCCACCTGCCCCCGACCCCCATAAGCTAGGGGTATGAAGAGCCCAGAAGTTAAGGTTATGCATGGAAGAGGTTAAAAACAGGGGGTGCGGGGAGACCACAAAGGGATTAAGGGCCTTTACAGAGCTCCTCCTCTCCCACTTTCAACAGCTCTGGTGCGCTGGGGCATCCCTAGCTTGAGGCCACGGAGCTGGAGCTGGCATGCCCTGGAACACAGACCAAAGCAGGGCGAACAAGTCAGAAGGCAAACTTCCAGCGAAGACATTAAGAGCAGTGAAGAAACCAAAGTGCCCATTAACAGGAAATTAATTTTATTTTTAAATCCAAGGAACCAGAACAAATGAGACTCCTACCCTTGGCTGGCAAAACTTAGGTGGTGACCAAGGAGGTTGGGGGTAGAGGATGACAGCAAGGGGTGGGTAGGAACACGTCCAAACAGATGAGGCCTCCTCACTCAGGTGCAGCCTCCATCAAATACCCGTTCTCTGGAGCAAGATATCCGTCGCCTCCCTCAGACTCCATGTACATGTCTCGGCTGTCATTGCCAAGACCCTCCAGCCCGTTGTCCTGGCCACCCCCACCCCCACCTCGAGCCTCATCCCTGCCTCGTTCACCACCCCGCTCCCCGCGCTTGTGCTCGCGATCCCTGTCTCGGTCTCGGTCCCGGCGCCGATCCCGCTCACTCCGGTGGCTGCGACGTCGTTCCCGATCACGATCCCGGCCCTTCTCCTCTGAGCCATCAGGGCCATCTGGACCCAGCTCCCCAGGAGGCCCATCGTCAGGAGGTGCATCACCAGCCTCAGAGGGCTCTGCCATGTCACCGCCACCACCTCCGCCACCACGCAGCTCCTCCTTGCGTTCCCGTTCCCGTCGAGCCCGCTCACGACTTCGGCTGCTTCGCCGCTTCCGTTCCCGGTCCTTGTCCTTGCTACGTTCCCTGGATCGTCGCCGCTCATCCTTGTCTCGACTCCGTGAGCGCCGCC